TGGTCTAATCCCAGCAGGGCTCTTGTGTAAAGAGACAATGTCACTTTCAGGAGAGAGAGCAAAAACACCAAACAAAAACAAAGCATTTTACACTTTGAGTTGATGCACACAGGACCCATAAAGCAAAAAGAAAGCTCCTTGAATTCTCCTCTGATTACTATTATTACAGGTTCAGATGATCCCATTGTTTTTGTTTCATCCCGCTGGCCAAGATAACCACGTCCCGCTGTGCGAGTCTCAGCACATTCTGCTCCCTGCTTAGTTACATTTCGGAGAAATTGCGATGCTGGAAACTCCAGTCACACAGTCAAACCATTTCAAGTGTTGCAGTATAAACAGGACCAGACTAGGTTACAACCGGCTTCTAAAAGAGTTCTGTTTTTTGCTTTCACCTTTCTGAAATCAGAACATGAGGGATATGGATGTGCAGATTTGCCTTTAGAACATGTTTGTACCCTGGACAGCAAGCAAAATTATTCCTGAAGGAAGCTGGGGGCTCAGGAAGCAAGGTGGAAAAGAGAGCTCTATGCTGCGCAGCTGGCAATGACTTTAGGAACCAGCACTACAGTCATTGCGAGGCTTCTTTCTATGTGGCGCCTCTTCAAATGTGTACGAAACTAGCTGATTGATGCTAAGTAGTACCTGGAATGATAAAGAAGAGCACATTTCCTTGCTCCTATTTCCCCTGTTTTATCCAAATTAATGTAAATTAATGTTCAACAGACACAGATGACATTCTCAATTGGTTTCCCTTTATTGTTAATTTGTGAAATTGCACAGTTGTACCAAATGTTTGAGATGCAATTGCAAACAACAACAACAAAGCTACTGTCCTTCCCAAATCTCAAAGAAATTGATTTTTAAGAGGAAACTTTTGCACTCAACCGGAGGCGGTTTGCTCCTTGTGCATTCCTTCTGCTTTTAAGGCAAGTGATGCTATTGCTGAATTTTAACTCAAATGGAATTCCACAGCACTTTTGAGTTTTCGCCTCTCACTGGCACTTGAGATGGAATTCTGCTGGGAACCCACTAGAAACTGACCGTGGTTCCAATGGATTCCGGCATAAAGGTCTTAGTCTGTGATGATTGGGGGCTGACTGAGGGCGGTGGCGCAGCGGCCCATAAAATAATAGAACCACAGAACCATAGAACTGTAGAGTTGGAAAATACCCCATGCAGGAATTTCAATGAAATAATAATAATATTAATAATTATAATTTAGTTATTTATACCCCGCTCATCTGGTTGAGCTTCCCCAGCTACTCTAAAGCATCCATGACAGAAAGCTATCCAACCTCTGCTTAGAAAACTCCAAGGAAGGAGAATCTGCCACTTCCCGAGGGTGTCTGTTCCACTGTCGAACACCTCTTACCATCAGAAAGTTCTTCCTGATGTTTAGTCAGAATCTCTTTTCTTGTCATGTTACCCACGCAAGATCACGGAGCTCAAAAGATACACTCTTTTCAGGGCCATGCTTTCAGAGCACCCCAAAATGTGTGCTTTGTGGTGCTGTGCAAGATTGCAGCTCTGAAAAAGCATTGGGGGGCCACAATCTCATGTTGAAATTGTGTGAGGTCATGGTGCCCAAAATGGCCGCCATGCTCTCGCAAGGGGAAATGGAACATCCCAGTTTTTTCGGGACATTTGAGGGGTATGCCAATGATTAGGCAGAACCACCCTCCTGACACCTGCATCGCATCCACTTACCAGGATGGGGTGGGTGGGGGCGGGGTGGTTGCAAGCTTGGGGCTGCAGGGACATACTGGTGGTGGCACCAGAATGGCTCTTCCAGTGCAATCTCTTTTTATATATATATATAATTTTTATTAGTTTTTTAACATATCATTTTCAACAGTAATTAAACATACTTTTACATCTTATTCAATTTTTTGACTTCCATCAGTCCTGTCTGAAAATTTTCCAATCTAATCTCTTAGTATGCATTTCTTATTTTCCCTATTACATTTCAAACTCATAACCAATATCTCTATCTTTTTCTACTTTGTAACACTTCGTATATTTCTCCTTACAAAACTTCTTGTAGTCCTACTAGCGTAATTTGCTGATTACAGTTGCTCTTCAAACAATTCAGATACTTCTTCCAATCTTCTGTAAATCTCTGGTCCCGCAGGTTTCGAATCCTTCCTGTCATTTTGTCCAATTCTGCATAGTCCATTAATTTTGTCTGCCATTCTTCTTTCATCAGAATTTCTTCTTGCTTCCATTTCTGGGCTAACAATACTCTTGCCGCTGTTGTTGCATATAAGAACAGTTTGACACCTTGTCTATTAATGTCTTGGCCTATAATTCCAAGTAAAAATGCTTCCACATTTTTTAAAGAATGTATATTTCAACTTCTTTTTCATCTCATTATATATCATTTCCCAGAAGTTCTTTACTTTCTTACATTCCCACCACGTGATAAAATGTTCCTTCTTTTTCTTTACATTTCCAACATTTATTATTTGTCTTATACATTAGTGCAATCTCACTGTCGCACTGCACCATCCAGATAAGTTGCAGCGGTGCTGGTGTTCAGAGGGTAGATCTGCCCAACAGCTGGTATTGGTAGGTTGGGCCCAGAAGAAGAGACTGAGCTGGAAAGTGCCTATAGGAACCACTGAGAAAGATATTCTGCCCGCATGGCACCCAGAACTTCAGCTCAGCATTTCTCCTTGTGCTATGCAAGCTGAGGACAGCAGGGACGAGTTCACTTGCAGGGCAGAGTCAACCTAAGGTTAGCCGCAGTGGAGGAAAGGGATTCATTACAGAATGCATTCAGCATGGATGCCTTCCGTCCTGTTAAACACCCGCATTTTGCAAGAGTCAGCTGATGATTATTATGATTATTATTTCAAGCACGGAGCGAGTTCTTCCCGTTTTAAATCACTGGCTTTCTCTCCCACTTTATTGCTCTCCGTTCCTAGTCCCAAATGACAACCTCCTCAAAAAGACGGAATAATAAGAAATAGGTCACTGTTCTATTGAAATCACGTCTGCGAAAAAGCCCAAGCTGTGAATTGCTGACAGATTAGCAAGGCAAGAGGTCATGCTGGAGCCAGAATGTACGGTTCTAAACAGAAATATTTAATGGCACTTTGAGCAATCAAAAAAAAAGGAGACTAGTGAGCTACGCTGGCCCTGAACGGAATGCAGTTTGCAAGTGGAAAATAATTTTAGGAGAGTGCGGAATCGGGCACAGAGCATCAGTGCCTGAATCTTGCATGTTGCAGCCCAATCAGGGTGGCATGAGTCATTTTCTTCCCCTACCCCAAGGCAACCTCTTTGCCTTGGTCACTTATTAAAGGGGGGCAATTTCTTTCTAGATGAGGACATAGAAATTTTCTGACATTGCTTGGGAGACAACTCGCTTAGCCATGGCTAGCTTTGCAAGGGGGACAGTAGAGAAAGACAAGAGGTTTTAGTAGAAGATGGCTAATGGTCAGAGGTAACTGGGGTTCTAGTTATAAAACATCTGGAGGGTCATAAACGCTCCATCCTTGATGTAATTGGAGGTGTAATTTCTTCAGAGTGCTGGAATTTGCAGCTCTGTGTGTAGATCATTATTATTTGGGGAAGACTGACTGCTTACGGGACGCGGGTGGCACTGTGGGTTAAACCACAGAGCCTAGGACTTGCCGATCAGAAGGTTGGCGGTTTGAATCCCCACAATGGGGTGAGCTCCCATTGCTCGGTCCCTGCTCCTACCAACCTAGCAATTCGAAAGCACATCAAAGTGCAAGTAGATAAATACCGCTCTGGCGGGAAGGTAAACGGCGTTTCCATGCGCTGCTCTGGTTTTGCCAGAAGCGGCTTAGTCATGCTGGCCGCATGACCCAGAAGCTGTACGACGGCTCCCTCGGCCAATAAAGCAAGATGAGCACCACAACCCCAGAGTCGGCCACGACTGGCCCTAATGGTCAGGGGTCCCTTTACCTTTATGACTGCTTACATGGCATAATGTGCCTTATCATGTAGATAGAATATGCTCAGAGGCTCTGTGTTCTTGATGTCTGACAGGGCAACTCTTCCTTGGCTTCCTGCCCCTTTCTAGGTCTGGAGTCTTCCTTCTGCACCCAAACCCCTCCGCATCTATACAGCCAACTGGATGAAATGTGTTGTGGACTTTGACCAGCCATTAATGTCCGTGATGGCTTTGGGACACTAGTACACACGCTCTCTCACACTGGCCTACCTCACAGGGTTGTTGTGAAGACAGAATGCAGTAATTTGGGTGTCTGTCAAATTTTTAAACATAGTCTTCACCACCTCAACTTTCTGTGAACTCTCCAAGCGCAGTTCATGGCTGCTGCCAGAGCACGGCAGATTTCCTTGATCTTACAGACATCGCTCCCTGCTTCTCGTTTCCTTGCGTTCCTGTCAGCCTGCACTTTGCTGCAGTTCAAAAGCGGCATTAATGAGCAGCAGCAGCAGCATGGCGTTGCAAAGAAACCCTGCAAGTTCTGCTGATTTGAGGCTGGACTGTCACGAACAACAGACACCTCCCTCTTCTCTGTGCTCACAGACAGGGTGAAGTCCAGGGCAGTGGGGTGTGTGTGTGTGTGTGTGTGTGTGTGTAGGAGCAGAACCTCCATTTGCCAAGAGCTAGCTGCCCATCTGCCCTCTAGAACTGGCAAGCCAGATAAGATCCCCGTAAAAGTGACAGATCAAAGTAGCTAATTCATCAGACTCTCCAGGAGATTAGCAAGAGTGGCTTATAGCAGCGCCGCCGCCGCCAGCATTTGTGGGCATCCATCATGCAGATGAGTCTAAACCGGCAGTGGGGGAACTTTTCCAGCCCGAGGGCCACATTCCCTTCTGAACGACCTTTCAAGGGCCGCATGCCAGTGGTGAATGGGATCAGAGACAAAAGCAGGCAGAGAAAGTCCTCAGAAGTGGAATAGGGCAGTGCGAACGGTACGGCTGCAGGAGTGCACAGCCGAAAAAGGCGCCTTCCCAACGCCCGGTAGGGGGCATCAAATGGCCTCATAACAGGGTGGCATATTACTAAGGCCCATCCCTGAAGTCCTGCCCATTTCCCCTTTGCACAGTAGGTTCGTTTCTTCACAAGCCAACACACGACTCTCTCTATCCTCTCTGTCTCCAATATAGGAATGGAAGGACACATCCCAGCCCAGCAGAAGCTCTTGGAGTGTAAAGTGGGGGTCATTGAGGGGTACTGCCTGGGCAGAAATCCAAGGGCCAGGGAAAGGGGCCTGGAGGGCCACATTCAATCCCATGCCTGAGGTTCTTCACCCCTGGTCTAAACAGCCAATGGATGATCTTGCAGAGAATATCGTGCAATGCCTTTAGGAGCGTGGTCACTTAATGTTGAATGTCTCCTATGCTCCTTTGAGACCTCATACCAGGGTCAGTATCAACAGGTGGCTTCCTCTGGCAGTTGCCCCAGCACCTTGCAAGTCTCCACACCCCACCCCACCAATACCAGCACCAGGTTTCTATTATTATTATTATTATTATTATTATTATTATTATTAACAGCTAGACTTCCCTGCCATTTTGACTTGCTCCCATTCCCGACGATGCAGCCGTGCTCTCGATTTGAGAAGCCCACGTCGTGTTGAAGTCCATCACGAGTCGATTTCCTTTTTCATCTTGCTTTTCTCAGAGGACATGTGCTCACCTTTACATTTAGAAAGAGGATGTCTAAACGGTCTTATGTGACAAAAAGCAGCTTTCCGTGCCCGTTAAGGGTCGTCAAACCCCGTAATTATATTTACATCATTAGAGCTCAAGTAACAACCTCCTTACCCATCTCTGTATCTGTATATTGTGAGCCTTCAGAATGCACCATTCCATGAACAATGGCAACTTATTCTCCCCAAACAGAATCACCTCCCTACCTCAATTGGCTGGTCCATGTCAGCTACCCATACAGTGCGCTATCAGGCCCTGGACTGCTTAAGCCAGTGACCTGCCTGGGCATGTGGAGGAATGCAAAAGAGGCACATCGGATTTCAAGTCTTTATTATTTCACATTTCTAGAGACCAGGAGGGAAGGGTCCAGACTCTCCGTTTTCACCAGGCAGTTAGCTAAAAATAGTTGACAACCCTTCTGATTGACTGGATGTTTGCACAGGCAGCTTGCCACTCATTGCAGCTGCTGTAGTCACCTCTCTCGACCACATACATCTGGCCACGATAGTTAGGTTCCTCATACAACACCCATCTGAAACAGAAACAAAATGTTTTCTAGTCAAAACACTCCAAGCCACATTCAGAGGTGGTTATGGTGCCATATTGGTTTCCTCCAAACAGTTGGCATTTGATGTTAAAAGTTGATCACGGCTAAAATTCTGGTGGCTCTGAGGTGGAGATGGACTTGCTCCTTTTCTGAATGATTGGTTAACCAAAGGTTTAGAAAGCAGCAGTGATGAAGACATTAAACCCAACATATGTATGTCTGGGAGATGGCGGACAAAAAGCAGAAAGAGTTTTTTAAAACAACTGATCACCGTTTATTCACCTTATAAATACAGTTTAACAAATGCGTTAGTATGCACAACTCCCATTTGTTTAATGTTTATCTTGCACATATGTTTGTATTTAATGTGTTTATTTTAGATCTCTGTTGATTATTTAATTGTGTTTGGGTCTTTTGGAGATACTGAATTTGTAATACGTTTTGTTATAAGTTCATTGACCTAGACATCAATCAAATTTACTGGCTCAGCCAACCCCCGAAGTTCTTAATATTGAGAACGTTAATATGAAAAGGATGCAGAAAATATGCTTTAAGATCTCCTCTTTTTCATAAATACATCTAATAAGAGACACAGGATTTAAGAGACCAGTCCACATAATTTCTGGCCAGAAGTTCTATATGAGCACTGGGGTACATGCCCCACCACATATGCCCTATTCTAGTTGTGCACAAGAACCCATCGCTCAAGGCAGGTGGTTGTCTCAGCACCAAGGATAGCGCCTAGTGAGCAATTTGCTCTAAGAAAGGCTGGAAGCAAAGCTAAACCTTTTGAGCCTCTGCCTGCTGCCCATCTCTCCTAGGCCAACCCTCTGAGCTACAGACAGGCACTTCTGTACTCTCTGCCCTGCCCACCTGGTGCACCCCCTGTGCCACTGGACTTTCAGAGTACTGTGGGAGGCACTTGGTTCCTCAGGCCCAAAGGAAAGCACCTGTGAGGGTTTGCCTCTGGTTTTATAGACCCTGGGTGCTGTGGAATCTGGCAATGTAGAGGTTCAGTTGTTCCTTGACTCCCTGCTGAATTCTGGGGTCATGACTAGGGTTGCCACCCATCCTGTATAATATGGGACCGTCCTGTATTTCCATGTAATATAAATGTGAATAAATCCTATTTCTTAAAGCTACGACAGTCTCCACTGTGTTTTGATTCTCAAAGGAACACAGAGCCTGGGTGAGCGCCTGGAACCCCCTGGAATCTTGCCACAGCTTGGCAGAGATTGGGGATGGTGCCCAACTTTTGTAACAATAGAGACATACCTTGGTTGGCAAACGCCCTGGAACTCGGACATTTTGGCTCCCCAACTCTGCAAACCCGGAAGTGGTTGTTCCGTTTGCGAACGTTCTTTTGGAACCCAAACATCTGGTGGTGCTTCTGCGGCTTCTGATTGGCTGCAAGAGCTTCCTGCTGCCAATCAGAAGCCACAATTTGGTTTTCAAACGTTTTGGAAGTCAAACAGACTTCTGGAATGGATTCCGTTCGACTTCCAAAGTACGACTATATATCCGTCAACTGAGGATAACACTTCATGCATCTGACGAGGTGGACTTTATTTCATGAAAGCTGATGCTGTAATAAATCTGTTACTTCTTCAAGGTGCCACAGGACTTTCACCTGCATGGCTGTTAGGGATTTAGGAAGCTGCCTTGCTCCAGGCCAGACTCTTCCTCCATCTAATCCAGGGGTCGGCAAGGCTTACCAGACATGGGCCAGATCACTCCTGCAGAGATCCTCTGTGGGCCGGGGCAGCACAGCGCAATGCCGGAAATCACGTCTGCGCATGTCCGTGGCGCCAGAAGTCGCTTCTGCGCATGCCCAGATGCTGAAAATCATGCCTGCACAGAAGCAATTTCCAGCGTCTAGGCATGCACATAAGCAATTTCCGGAGCCACGGAAGTGAGCCCCTGTGCCGCGCCGGTTTAGTGCAGTGCACAGGAACTCGATGAGTGGGCGGCTCAGCTTGGGGGCGGGTTAAACGGCCTCCATGGGCCGCTTCTTGCCCGTGGGCCCTAGGTTGCCGACCCCTGATCAAATCCACTATTGCTTCTCTTATCTATCAGCTCTCCAGGGTTTCAAACAGAGGGTCCTTTAAAATAAAACAAATAACAACAGCCTTGCAGTTGCCAAGCCTTGAAGAAAAGGCTCCTCCCTGGCCACAGAGTACATCTGGCAAGCACTTTGGGCATTTCAGCCAGAGAGCCCAGAACGGTTGTCGCCATCCTGCTTCCCCACCTAGCCACAGGAACCAATACCATCCCACTCCAGACTGTGGCCCGTAGCATCTGTCAGAGCACCAGGTTGGGGGAGGCTGCCTTTGAAGTTCTGCTTTTTGCCCTCCTAAGTGATGATCCCTTGGCACGGAAGCACGAAGCAGCATGAACCAGAACTCCAGCTGTGCCTCACACAAGCCAAGCACTCTCTGGCTCGGACAGAGGGCTCCAGCTCTCTCCCAGGCACGCACATCCAAGTCGTGCCTTCCGACTGTGTTTGTTTGTCCAAAGGAAGCGCATGGTACCATGAGGTCAGAGAGATAGTGGGGGAGGAGAGAGAGAGAGAGAACGAGCCAATGACATCATAACACAACAACTCCATCACTGGTGAAAGGGTGAGACACACACGATGATTTTTGTTTTTTTCTACCCCCTCAAGAGAACATTTGTTCCTGGTCAGAGCGATGATGGAAATACAACCCTGCGTGATCGCCGGTTTTCAGGGGAAATGTTTTTGGGACAGAGGGAGGGACAGCAATACTGTTGGCTTCTCCCAGTTTGGCACTTCTAGAGCAAAGGATCAGAAAGCAAGAATGCGAGAAGGAACTATAGTGGGGAAGCTATAATTGGTGTTAATCTTTTCCAGAATAAAGAGGCTTGTTAAGCTGATCCTCTCGTGCCACATGCAATTTTTGTGTGTGCCTCAGATGAACATTTATGACGGAACTGCTGGATTGGATATTGCTAACCTGCAATTATTTATTATTACTACAGTAAGGACTCCACACATAGACCCAAGACCAGGGTTGGTGGAATGTCAGGGGAGCAGAGAGCTGGGTTTTGGTCTCTTTTAAAAGGGGTACCCTGTAGATATGCGAAAAAATAAAAATAATAATCAATAACTGTACATGGCTTTTTTGAAGAAAGCAGATGGAAGCTGCCTTATAGTGACACAGACAATTGTTCCATCGGGCTCTGTGTTGTTTATGCTGACTTTGAACTGATCAGCAGTGCTTGCAAACCCCATTTTTTCAACCAGCCACATCTTTTCCTGCCTCACATCTGACATCAGGTGTAGAGGAAGCGGATATTAAATCCTAGACCCAACCCTGGAACATACAAGAGACGAGAAACCCACTTAGTAGGTTTAACCTGTGGGGGGGGGGTGACTGAAGAAGGGTAGGGACTGGTAAAAGCTACAGAAAGCAACAGGGGCCTATATCTGCGAGTGACTATTCTGGCATGGAACTGCAGAGTCAGAGCTGTCATCATCTATATCAGGGTGGTGAGCCCCCTATCTCCTTCCAGATGTGGATGGACCAACTCCCATCATTGCTGACCTTTAGCCATGCTGGTTGTCAGGGGCTGATGGGAGATGGAGCCTGGCAGCAGCGGTGGGCAATGCGTTTCTTGGATCTGCTGCCCCTGTGGATTCTGCCACCTGAGGCAGTCGCCTCATCTTGCCACAAGGGTGGGCCAGCCCTGACCCCAACAGATCTTGCTTCCCCTGTCGGTTTCCAGAAGAGACCCAAAGTCCAGCACAAAGCAAGATATCTCTCTCCCCCCCCCCCCAGCTTTCAGCTCACATACACAACTCTGGCTTTGTTCTCTCATCTATTGGGCAGGTGAGGTGGATAGCGAAAGGCCTGCCCATTTGTTTCTATGGCAGCAGAGCTCACCTTTTCGAGATGCAGACGATGGGTAGTTAACTGGCCAGTCAAAGGAACTGGCATTGACAAACCTTGACAAAGGAACTTGTTTGGCAAGTTTCCTCTTATGTACTCTATCCTCACAGATGCAGTTGCAGGTTCAGAAGGGATCCAGTTTCATCCAGACTGACCAATCTAGCAACTACATCAATAGCAATCTGAATTATCCAAGTGCTAGTTACGTAGTGGAAATGGCACCGTACATGCACACACAGAGACACAGAGAGATGAGGAAACAACATGCTCAGGGGAACCCAGAGAGGCAAATGACTCACCCCCAAAAGGAAACAGCAAGATGGGGGCTGAGTATGCTCAGTGTGCAGGGAATAGGAAAATGGTGGCAGCTGGAAGAAGAATGGAATGGAGTACTCTGAAGAGGGCTAAAAGGAGGATTACATGCGGCAACCCTTTATTGCAGGTTGCCCTTGTATTATTTTGACACCCGTGAGTTACTTACGCTCCATCCCCATAGACTTTGATGGCGTTGATCCAGTTTTTGGCCCAGCCTTGCCTATGCAGGCAAGAGCAATCTTCGGTGAACTCCTGGCTGCGACCACTAAAGTGCCTGCCCTCGAATACTTCGATCCGGTAATTCTCGCCATGCTGTTGGCAAAGGCAGGCCAAAATTAGCTTCATGAAACAGCAGCGGCAAAACCCAGAGACACCTCGCTTTTCCAAATTCATACTAAAGAGCTTGGTGTTGCGAAATATGAGTAAAAATGTATTTAGAAAAATAACATTTGCACCCTTCTCGTCTTCTAAGGAGCTCCAGGCAACAGAGAGGTTTGTTGTTGTTTTTTTCATTTTGACCCACAGGTGAAAGACAGAAATGTGCCCCAGGCCGGCCAGTGAATTCTGTAGCCAGCAAAAAGCCACAGGTGGAAAATGGGTTCAGCATCAGCACTCGCCGGCCAGCGACTGTTTCATCACTTTCATATTTATTTTGTCTACTGATTTAAAAATTGGTATTCCACTTTTCGAAAACATAGCAAGATCTCAAGAAGGTGGTTAGCCGGAGACATAAATATATATATCAATAAAAATGTATTAAAACGTTTATTTAAACAAGCAACACGTTGTCCCCCTCCCCCATACTATATACAAAATATGCCAGTGATTTGTGTCCTAAATACAGGAGAAGTAGTGCAGTGTAGTGGTTAGAGTGTCAGGTTGGGATAGGACGATGTTTACAATTTATTACGCACCCTTTACCTTCAGGTCCTAGGGTGGGCTACGACAATTAAAACACAACATTAATATTAAAAAAAAAAATTTAAAGCAACTTTAAAATTCAGAAATAAGGCGGGCTCTAAAATATGCATCTCCAGTGTCAAAAGCCAAGATAAAGAAATGTGTCTTCAGTTAGGTCTTCAGACTCAGGTTCAAATCGGTTCTGAGCCATGAACCTCGCTAGGGAATTCTCTCCTTCAGACTATTTTGCAGGATTGTTGTAAGAATCAAATGGAGGTGGGAGAGAAGGACCCATCACTTTACAATATGAGCAATATGCCTGTAAAGATGTGATCATGCTAAGTTATCCAAGCAGTTAGTACTTTTCTTATTGTTGTTTTCAGTGAGTAATTTAATGCCAGACTATGAAAGTGTTCAAACTTCAGCTGAGATGGGGGAGAGAGAGAGAGAGTTTCAGACCATCCTCAAGTGCCCTTTAGCATAAAACCTGCACCGGAAGAAATACAAACCACGAAACGACCACGCACAAGGTCAAGAAAACAAGGCCACAAGAATGCCACTTTTGACATTTGCAAGAGAACCAGACATCCATACATGGGAAATGAATTAAGAACCCCACGAGGAACGGAACTATGAGGAGGAAATTCCAAAACACACATCTATTTGAGACTGTTTCCCTTAAAACAAACAAACAAAATAATAATCACATTTTCCTTGTTCCTAGTCAAGTCTGTGGTTATTTATACAGGATAGTTGTGACTTTATTAAGCAAGAAAAAGAAAGAAACACACACATACACACGCCGCCCGCTTCAGTCTCCAGTATCCTGTCTATGCAATTCTTGGAAGGTGAACTGAGGTAAATCACTTTGGGAATCTCCCTCCCCTCCCGCCAGTAGGTTTGGTAGGTATTTGTGAGGAAGTCTGCAGACAGGTATAAAGTTCTTTTTAGAGAAAAAGAAAAAGAACCAGCAGACAGAGGACATAATATATTTATAAATGGAATCATGTATGAGAAAACTTGGCTGAGGTAGAGGAAAGCTTGTGGCATTCTTTTGGCGGTGGAATCTCAGATATGCCTGAAACATCTGATGGCAGTCCAAAAAAAACCCCAAAGAAGAGTTTCTCCCGTTCCCCGTCTTGTACATACAGATGCACAAGTACACAAATACACACACCTTCCACTGCAATACAAATTTAGGCTGAAGACAGGAAATAGTAGTTAAAAATTGTTGAAAGTACTTTGAGGGAGAGCTCCATTCCTGTGGTGTGTGTCTTATTGTATTAAAAATATTTTTTTTTTACTCTTCAGCTAGCAAGTTTGCAGAATGCCTTACAAAAAAGGGCAGCAGGAGAGCTAACCCATTAACAGCACAATCCAGTACATGTCTAAAAGAAGTCCCATTGAGTTCTATTGGTTGTTTCCAACTTAGATTAGAGCCACTTAATAGGTATAAGATAGTCCTGCCCATTAAGTACAATGGGTCTACTCTGGAGTATGCATCACCACCCCAAGTTATTGCCAAGAGACTGAAGTAAGACATATCTAGTGGATCTTAATGATTGGGTGGGGTATTCCTTCAGATACTTGGGTTCCAGGTCATTCAGGGTTTTATGCACCAATATTAGTAAGTTTATTCGAGCCTGGTAATGCACAGGCAGCTGCTGTGGGGATTAGCGAACCAACTGGAGTTTGAAGAAGATAACAGAGGCTTAGACAACAGAAAATAGTTGCCTTGCCACTCCTCCTCAGGGGCAGCTTAGAACTGATGAGCAGCCCCAAGCAATGAACTTGGTCCTTCAACCACCAACCCACAGAACCACCATCTTGTTGGGCTTCAGCTTCAATTTATTGGACCTCAACCATCCCAATACCCAGTCCAAACAGTGGTCAAGTACTTAAACAGCCTCTCCTGATTCAGGTGAGATAGACCACTCTGTGATCTTCAGATGTCGGGCATCATCACTGAAGACTGGGGTATCACCAACATATTGATTGTGCCTTGCTCCAAATCCCTGGATGACTTCCCCCAATGACTTCATAAAGATGTTAAAACAGCAACTGGGAATACAATGGAACCCCGGAGGACCTCACAGTCTAGAAGCCATGGGGCTGAGCAAGGAGCAAGGGACTCCTACAAGTAGGACAGAGGCACCAACGCCTAACCCAGAAGGATGCCAAGGTCCAGGAGATACAATGTCCTTGTTCTTTGTCTTGCTTGATCACATGATGATGGCACAAAGACCTGGGCTGACGCGGGTGGCGCTGTGGGTTAAACCACAGAGCCTAGGACTTGCCGATCAGAAGGTCGGCGGTTCAAATCCCCGCGATGGAGTGAGCTCCCGTTGCTCGGTCCCTGCTCCTGCCAACCTTGCAGTTCGAAAGCACGTCAAAGTGCAAGTAGATAAATAGGCACCGCTCTGGCAGGAAGGTAAACAGCGTTTCCGTGCACTGCTCTGGTTCGCCAGAAGCGGCTTAGTCATGCTGGCCACATGACCCGGAAGCTGTACACCAGCTCCCTCGGCAAGTTAGCGAGATGAGAACCACAACCCCAGAGTCGGTCACGACTGGACCTAATGGTCAGGGGTCCCTTTACCTTTTATGAAGGCAGTGTTTAATCCCCTGGAACAGACAAGCCTGCCCAGGCATGTAGAATGCGTATTTTAAACTGTGTTTAGTTTATTGCAATTTAAAAAAAAAAATGTTTTAAATAGTTGCTGTTGTTTACTATTTTTACTGGTAATTTTATTGTTTTATACTTTGTAAACTACTTTGAGGTTTTTCTTCTATCAAGAGGTGCATAATTTTTTTATGAGAAGTAATAAATTATGACCATTCCGGCAGGTTGTTAAAACATACAATGATGCTGAAGACATCCCAGACATCCTCCCAAAGGCATGAGTGACAGACACCTGGAAACAAAGACTCCCTGTGATAAACAGGACCTATCCTGTCACTCATCAACAACAAAAAAGGAGCACTAACCATCCCAACTGGCTTGCAGGATCCCATTCGGTCATTGTGCCCGTTCCAGCGGTGGAAGCCAGGGTATTCGCCATGCTCCAGGATGTACTGCTGGCCTCGGAAGTCTGCGAGGCTGAAACAGATCCAGGCTCCGCTCTGTACACAGACGGAATTGACTCTGTTCATGAAGCCCCGCTCCTGGAAGTTGTCGCAGGGCCCGCTCACCTCCAGCTTCCGGCCTGTGAAGCATTTGCCTTCATAGAAAGTGATCTAGAGGAAAGAGGACGTTCCAAGGATTGAGCTACGACCATTGCACGGCCCCAGGACCCACCGGTATTCCAAGCAGATGGAATCCACTGCCAGACGGACTTAATTTTGCATTCAATGAGAGTTCATTGAAAGCTGGAAGTATTCTTTTAATGAGACATTACAGCTTACAACACCGTGTGTGGCTAACAATGCAACCTCTCGGGGTTTTCTTTTCTTTTATAAACATCGTTTTTTCAAATTGTGTATTTAGATTAATTAAGCCACACTCCATTGTATTTCCCAATCCTCTTTATCCTCTCGCTTTCATATGCTTTTCCTTCTCTGGAGTTGCCAGATTCCTTGCGTTTTAAGGAACGCCCCTTAATCTCAGACCACCCCAGCTTGTGTGGCCCCATCCTGCAAGGCAACACAGCCCCACAATGTTTTGGAAAGCGTAGCTCCATTAAGCCATCCTGTCTCCTGTTGGCATCCAAAGCTTTTCTTTTTCCAGCTCATCTCCTCCTCCCTCTTTTTTAAAAAAGCCTCTGATCTCATACATAAGCAAAGTTACAAAAAGGAACACGTTACTTACTTTTCCTGAATACTGAGACATGTTTCACTGGCAACTGCTAACGCAGAGGCAGACTCCCAAATGGGATTTTCAGAGCCACGGGAAACTCTACTATATATCAGCAGCAGGGAGACCAGGTTGGGTTTGTAAGGCCTGCCAAACAATGCACACTGGGGATGGTTCGTGCTTAGCTGGCAAGAACGGCATACCTCTCTCTCTGCTGATACGGGAGTTTTAATTTAATCCAGACAATTTAACAAAAGAATCACTCGTTGGGGGATTTGAGCAATGAGCATCGAACATTTACAGTTCCTTTTAGAGAGAAGCTTTATTTATTAGACTAGGTAACAAGCCGATTTTTATCTGCTTTCCCTTTTAACACAGCACACGAAAGCCTCTCCTCCTGGAGCCCATAGAGTGAGTCTTCAGAAGATGCCTTAGAAATTGGTCTGTCTAGTCCAGCATGATCTGTTTTAACTGGAAGTTATCTAAAGCTTCAAGTCTCTTTTTCCTCTTCCCTCCTTGCCCCCTTTTCCTTGTCTCTCTTTTTTTTAAAGATTGCAAGCAAGGACCGCCTTGTTTTAATTGTATATAAGCCACTCTGGGAGCCTTTATAGCTGGATTCTCAGATACAAATGTACAGTGGTGCCTCGCAAGACAAAAAGAATCCGTTCTGTGAGTCTCTTCGTCTAGCGGTTTTTTCGTCTTGCGAAGCAAGCCCATTGACGGATTAGCGCTATTAGCGGTTTTTAGCGGCTTATCAGCTTATCGGATAAGCAGATAAGCAGCTTAGCGGCTTAGAAAAAGGGGGGGAAAGGGAAAAAAAACCGCAGGAACTCGCAAGACATTTTCGTCTTGCGAAGCAAGCCCATAGGAGATTCGTTTTGCGAAGCACCTCCAAAACGGAAAACTCTTTCGTCTAGCGAGTTTTCCGTCTTGCGAGGCATTCGTCTTGCGGGGCACCACTGTACTAAATAAAAGTAAAGGAACCCAAGATCCTGGATATGAAATACACTGTATGTAAAGTGTAGGAACATAGGAAGCTGCCTTATTCTTATGAGAATTTGCATACCGCCCTTCATCCAAATATCACAGGGCAGTTCACAACATAAAAATGCAAGATAAAAACACTAAATACATAAATACACAAAACACAGGCCTGAAGGATGTTTAGAATTACATCTGAACCAGACTGCAGCAACAGCCAACATACAAACGCGACTTGCCCTTCTTTAGGGGAAATGGGATCTTCTGCTCTCAACTAGAGGCTTCCAAAAAGTGTTTCCAAGAAGCAAATTCCTCTGTGGCTCTGCAGAGGCTAGCTGTGTTGTACTCACATTTTCCTCGCAGAAAACAAGCCCCTATGGTGCATTAAAGCACAGAATGGATATGTTCAGAGCAGAACCTTCTTGCTACCATATCATGCTGTCCTGCTTCATCAGAAGACCTCATTAAACAATACTGGAACCAATTTCATGTTAAGCCAAGCCCTGAAAATACATTTCTATTGCCAAGCTTCAAAATAATTTCCACATTGCATATGTACACCCCCCCCAATTCTATATGGCTTATAAACGCCCTGCAGTACTATAGTTAATTCCTATATAAACCAGCAGATATGGAATGAGATCAAACTGGCTCAGCAAGTGCTATTTTTGTACCAGCACGCAATTTATTAGCAGGAACATTTTATACATTCAAAGCGCTCTAGAGACAAAACTAATTAAATCATATTACCCCTGGGGAAGGAGCTAATGATAATCATTCCTTTTTCACAGTTGGGGAAATTGGGCCAATGGGAGGTCCCAAGCCTCAAGAGGGAATTAATGGCAATGGCAGACTTGAAATCTAGCCCTCCAATGCTTGTACTAGGCCCCCAGGTGCCAGACTGCTTTCATTGCTTGGATCTTAGCAAAGCTTGCTGGATGGAGAAATACAATGCACCACGCAGCGTGCTTCCATCGTGAGCTCGTTATTTTACCGGTATTACCATTTTGTCTTCACAATCAACCCTTCAGGTACAAGAAGGCTGAAGCTGTGATTGGTCACCAACAGGACGCATGACGAAGCAAGGATTTGCGCTCATTCATCCAATCCAATTCTACCTACTGCAGAACCCTTGTTTTCAGATCAGAACTGAACTATGCCATTTGAAAAGGGGGACCCCTAGCATGTTTCAATGTACGCCCAATATGAAATGTGTGCAGCTGACGGAAAGGTTTATGATTGGCTGCTGTGGAGTATCACTCACTAAGGATCCTCAACTGTGGGAGAGGGCTATTGACCTCGCGTCCTACTTGTGACCCTCCCAAATGCATTTGGAAACAGAATACTGGATGAAACATGCCTCTCCTCTGACCAGCAGGGTCCTCAAGTTCTTATGGCCTTTGCTTTCATTATTAAATTAGTACACCCTAAAATTCATGCAATGGTCAAGACACTTTTCAGAATAGCATAGAGAGCAGCAACCCAACTGAAGTACCCCAGCCTGTTGAGATGTTGAACATTTTACTACACATCAGCTTGGCCACCTAGTATATTCACAGCTTTCCATTTTTGTGTGTACTATTTTTGGATGACGAGGAGTGCTGTGACATCTTAGTGTGGAATGAAAGCTTTAGGCCCACATCAAATGAGTGAAGAGGATGAAACTGGATCGTCCTGGCAGGAAAGTGAGGAAATATACTGTCGGGGGGGGGGGGGGACCTGGTTCACAAGATTGCGTTCAAAAAGATAATATGCATTCAGTTCACCCGTTACTGGAGCAGTAAATATACCATAATTATGGCCAGTGGGAGGTAATATACTGCTCAAAGTGCAAGAACAAGCCATAATTCTTCTTCAAAACCTGGAAAGTACAACCAAATGTTAAATTCAAAAACTGCAGTCTTTTCCTGTAACTGACCTTTGAAAATGTTCTGTTTAAGCATTCCATCAAACATTTGGCGGCATACTGAACTAGGTATTTTTCAGAAATGGCATGGAAAAAAATGTAAAGAACCTGTTAAGCAGTGGGCACACAAAGGTTTGCAGCTATTTTATTTACAAGTATACATTTAACACAAAGAAACACCGATATTCAAGCCTAGTTAATAGTAGTGTAACAATATGCATCATCTGGATGATTATTCTAACCCAACTACATTGAAAAATTAATGCCAGTAAAATTCTTGGTCATAATATTAAGAAATACAATATATAAATTGAAAATATGATTGCTTAAAATTTGAAAATGGAAGTGAAGCCTTTTTTTTTTTTTGCACAGGAGTCAGAGTTTAACATAATCTGAAGGAAAAGTCTCCAACTGACTTTATATTGTTCAGGTTAACAGAAGAAGAAAAAGCGTAGTTTCGCTGTGAGGGGGAACAGGCAGTTTGCTTCTTAAGGTAGAACATATTCCCAGTGTTCAGCCTTCGGTGGGCAATCACATCACCGAGCATGAAGACTTCCCTTGTGAAGATGCCCCGTCAATTTTCTCTGCCTCCAAAATTATCCTTCTGAAGACGTCAACAGCAGTCTGGAAAGAAGGCAGAGGGGCTATTAAGAGTCTGAAGCACTAGAAAGCACAGCAGCCACTGTAACTGTTTTAGAATAGCAAACAAGGATGAGAAGAGGAAAGGTGACGACATGCTGTAGCTCAGCATTGCTAGCATGCCTGAGATGGATATGCATGTGACACGATGCAATAAAAGCAACGCAAAAAATCAGGACCGCCTAATTTCCTCACCCAACTCTCATTGCTGAACTCTGACCTGCAAGCCTTCCTTATTCTTGTAATATGCAAGTGATGCTCAACATGTGAAGTGCCTCTTGAGCCAAAATCGCTCAGAATGGGCCTTGTGTACCTTGCACAATGTGTGCGAAGATCACCGCAGACCACCATGCTGCTGAAGTTTCAAGCCAAAGTGTGAATCGGGTGGCTTTCCAAGGTGTAACGAAGACCTCTTTGTTAGGCCTGGCATGAGACCAGTGAAATATAATAGTAATTTGGTTTCACACCTACTTGTTTTGCACTGGAAGTATTGTTACCTGCCCTGAGCATTGGGAGCGGAAAGATTAGCAGTCTCATCTCAGAAGGCTACGAGGCTATTTCAGGGACCTGAGCCTGAATTCATAACCCAATAGTTATGTGAAGAGAGTTACAGAGCTGGAAGCTATGAAGGCCAGGGAAATGTTTCTGAGAAACTAGAGGGCAATGTCAACAGATGCTAAGAGGCAGTTGACTCAATTAAGCTCCAGGAGCCGCATTTTGGTTTGGAGAAATAGATGCTTTTCAGAAGGTACTTCCATTATTCTGAGCTAGAAGGTAGCACAGAAAGGCACCCAAATATATAAGGACTGAATAGGAAGAACTGTCCCCTGAACCAAAATGTTGCCCTTCAGTATCTTTATTAAAAATACAGTGGTGCCCCGCAAGACGAAAAACTCGCTAGACGAAAGGGTTTTCCGTTTTTTGAGTCGTTCCGCAAGACGAATTTCCCTATGGGCTTGCTTCGCAAGACGAAACGTCTTGCGAGTTTGTTTCCTTTTTCTTAAAGCCGCTAAGCCGCTAATAGCCGCTAAGCCGCTAATAGCCGTGCTTCGCAAGACGAAAAAACCGCAAGACAAAAAGACTCGCGGAACGGATTAATTTCGTCTTGCGAGGCACCACTGTATATATATAATCTCTTATCACCTAGTTGCTATTGATGTTTCATTTTTTCGTGTTAAAAGCTCTTTTCCTCTTGTACTGAAACTTGTTAAGAATTTTTGCCTGCAGAAGTAATAGTTGCAGGGAAAATATAGTAAAGAATGAAGAAGTGGATGTTTTGGTAATGAGAATGCTGCAAATCTGTGTGAAATTTGTGTGAAACTATCTCGGCATTTTTGAGTTGGCACACTTGGAGAATCCAATGCTCGTCTTTCTGTTTTTTTCTGTTCATCAAGAATCATTTGCCAACAAGGTACAATTCTGAACTGGGCTTGCTTCCAAATTTGCTCCAGTGGATTCAAGCAGTCCCTTAAGCATCTTAAAAGTGCAATATGACAGTTAATTGAACATTGCCTCATATAATGCCAGATATGTACTGTATCTCATGTGACATTTAAAATCCAAAATCAAATGAAAAGGGTATAATGTTTCCCAGACACAAATTGTCCACAAGTGGTCAATTAACCTAATATATTTCCTCTGCAATTAGATTTTTTGCAGAATCCCAAATAGCTTGCTCTACAGAAGTTTCACCTCTACATGCTGTTTCTTTGCTCCTGAAGGTAGACAGGAATGCAATTTTATTGAAACATTCAGATACCCTCCCCGATATTCTGAAACAGTAATTCAGCTCCCATTTTAACAAGGAATATATGATATGCTGCTTTAACTCAAGCACAAGTCTAAAACTGCCAGTGCTCTTTTTAGCGGATCCTTTCATCTTACAAAATTAGGGAGCTCTTAATCTGTGGTGGCAAAGCAAGAGTTCACCCTACCTCTGCAGCTTAAGGATAAATTGATGCAGTCATGTAACAAAGTCTATGGAAAATACATGTTTTAACAAGGTTCCCAGTTTGCATCGCCCATAACTAATCTTGTTTGTTTGTAGTTTGAAGTGGCTGCATTGATGTGACCGCATTAATCTTCTGATGACTGTAATATTTACATGACAGTCTTGTTGCCTGAAGATTTCATCATATGGTGACATATCACAGTAATCTCCAGATCAGGAACAGTCAATGGGATGCAAACGCCCAAGTGATGACTTTGCCACTATGCAAATGGTCATCAGCAAGCTGTAAAAAGCTGACTTGGGCAGCTCTTCTCCCATTTCCCTGGAAACACATTCATAATTAAGCAGCAATTCCTATTTCAACTTCAACCCTTTAGAAGCAAATTGGCTACCTGGTTTTCTTTAGCAGAAGATTCCAAGAAAGCTGCATTCCAGGATTCTGCTAAAGCTTTCCCTTCTTCATAGCTGATCACCCTGAAAAAAGGAAAGTAAAGTTATTTATAGTAAGAGCCCTCTAAATTAAAGTTCTAACCATCTGACTGCTCGTCGTACTGTATTATATGTAAGATTTAGGAGAACTCATCTAATAGATCCAGATATGATATGTTTACAGTTCGGATTATCAGTGTTTCATGGAGAAGGTTTCACATCAATTTTCAATTAGAGCAAGAAGCAGGTGACACCTAGTTTCGAAGGAAGGGGAGCTGAGTGTATTGTTGGAAGATACATAATGAAAGCCAAAGCTTAATCAGATCACACAATAACATTAAAGCCCTGCTGATCACACAGGTTTGGAATCAACAACACAGGCACCATCTCTAACAGCAACTTCACAAGCACTAAGTTGCGTATTATTTTGGGTACAGCAACTTGGAAAACAACTAAGTTAAGGCCGTGCACATTTACAGGCTAAGCAACGTCCCATGGGTGATCATCTAGGTAATAGGGTATTATTTGGACCATCTCTCTTCTAAGAGTAAAATTTTAGTAGTGGCAGCAATATAATTATTCTGTCTATTAAGAACGTAGAAGAGCCTACTGGATCAGGTCTAGGGCATACGTAGCCCAGCATCCTGCTCCCACAATGGCCAGCCAGGCACCCATGGGAAGCCAGCAAGCAGGATTCGGGCGCAAGAACACTCTCCCCCTCTGCTGGTTCCAGCAAGTGGTATTCAGAAGCACAGGGCCTCCAACTGTGATTGGCAGAGCACAGCCACTGTGATCACCATAGCCTTCACTAGTTTGTCCAGTTCTCTTTTAAAGCCATCCAGGCTTGTGGTCATCACTGCCTCCTCAGGCAGTGAGTTCCACAGCTGAGCCACGAGCTGCTTGAAGGAGTATAACCATATTACCACAATTCTGAGTTTCTGTGTCACCATAAATGTGTAAGTGATTATGATGGCAGGTGAATTTTTACCAATCAGAAAAAGGGGACAGGTAAAGATTATGGGAATTCTATGGGAATTTGACAGTAGTGAAATTAAAAATCAACTTTGCCCCAACAGTAGTAAGATCCACCAGAGGATCGGCGGACAAATATCCGGGCAACAGGTTACCCTCAGGCAACTTTACCCGAACCTGACCTGGCCAAAATGCTACATTTTAAAAATAATTGCAACTCTAAAACCTGAAAGCAATACTCAAGTACCAACCCAAGTAGGATGACCTGAGCTCTTTGGAGGAACAGCAGGGCACAAATGTGACAAATATAGTTCATTCTTGGCCTCCTACATAACGCTTCTGCAGATAAGTAGGTCATCAACTGACCAACATTCCAACCTTAGTTGAATTTATCAAATAAAAGCCAGGAATAGGAATTGGAATGAGGCAAGCTGTGGTATCTGAGGTGATGTATCAGAAGGAAAGGTAGTAAATTACAAGCACATTTCAAGGCGTAGGACTGCTACAGCTATCTGCAGACTGTTATGCTCAGAGAAGCATATTCTTCTCGGTTCTACAGAGGTTAGACCCACTGAAATGAATAAGTAATGAATCAAGGCCAGTAACGTCTATTAATTTCAACAGGCCTACTCAGAGTATGACTGGATACAATGCACCACAACATTTTAATCTTAGCAGGGTTGCCTTAACTCATCTCAAGAGAAATATTCCATACCGTTCCATGTGCAGGTCCTTTTTATTTCCAACCAACATAATGGGGATCCTATGGGATTAAAAACAACACAAATCACTTTCAGAGCAGAAGCTGATGTCTGCAGAGTAATACGACAGCAAAATGAAACATGGAATGAAATGAGAGTGTTACTACTTACTGGACTTTTCCCACCATATCCAATAACTTGCCATGGATAACTTTAATCACTTCAAAACTGAAAAATAAAAGGATGACATCATACACGCCCTCCAACGTTGCACCCTCTGGCATTTCTATCCCGCCCACAAATAATTCTACAAAGATCAAAGCCACAAGCAAACACTACTTCATTTAACTACTGGGAATTCTATTTGTCTGGAAAACCTAAGTGGATCCCCGATGCCAATGGTATCTCATCATGTTTACACAATTAAAAAATGAGAAATTAAAACCTGCACCCTGGCTTATACATGGCAAGCGAGACATTATTTGAGCTGTGTATGAATTTGATTTCTTTTAAACAGTAAAAGGTGATAAAGTTGAGCATCAAGCACCATAATTATTTTAAGTCACAAACCCAGGGTTAAAGAGGCTGTTTCCAAAACATAACACGAACCTGATACTGTTATATACCAGGTCACTTCCAAAGCAGTTTATGTTCTGTGTAGGCTGGTTGCACAATCCCCTGGGAACTTGCGCTGTGCAAGCCTCACTGAAAGGAAGGGAGAATTGCACAACTGCAGTGGGAGTGCATGCAGAAGTTTCCACCACAGTGTGACCTTGACCATGAAGGACAACTGGGTCAATGAGGTCAGGACTTCCATTTTGGCACAGAAAAGTAAACAGAATTGGAGAAAGCCAGAACTGTCATTGTGACAGTTTGATCGCTCATGTAAATGGAAGACAATCCATAAAACACCAATGGCAGAATTCCAACACAGCACAGTACAATCTAAAAAAAATTTGCTGACTGAAAAGGGAGATGCACAAGGTTCTGCATTCACCCTGCTCCTTTCACCTCCTACCAGCAGACCAAGCTCATATCACCCTACGTTTTATGTACGGACTGCAATATTTACACCACTAATTCCCCAGGCCCTTGCCCGCTATCTGCATCTAACACTGGGGATGAGGAAACTCCAGCAACTTCAACCAACTACCCCACGGCTTTCACCTTCTCTACCCAGCTGGTCTGTGTTGTGCTTCAGGCACAGCCTGAACTTGCTGGTGTTTGCTTCACATTTCAGTGTAGACTGCGACATACAACCACTCACGTTCCCTTCCTACGGCTTGCATTGCAAGGTGTTTAGGATTTGCAGAGCTCACCAGTACCAACACCTGCCAAGGCTTGGCCTCATTCACCCCCATGAAACAACTTTACACATAAGGAAATAAGAGATCACCTCAGAGACATGTGAGACATTAGAGTGGAAATATATTTGCAACTCTCATGTTCCTCAAAAACAGAAGCGAAATTGCTGCAGAGGTACAGCTTAAGCATACTCTCCAGTATTGACAGTTATCAGGAATTTACAAGAGAAGTAAATGCAGAAGTTGTCCCAGTGTTTATTCTTTGTGTGTGATAATACAGTTAACTCCAGGAAAACAAGGTAGGATCCAGAGGGCTGTAAGTGGGCTTACATGAGCACATCAGGTTTTGGTTTTTTTAGGCCTCTCTACTGACTACATCCCTCATGCCCCATTCCAGCCACTCCTGAAGTTTGTGTGTGTGTTTTTTTGGGGGGGAGGTTGTTCTCTGGAATAACTTTCAATATAGCACAGTGGGGCCACAGCTGGAAGTGAAGGTCAGCAAATATCCTGTGCAGAATACGGATACAACACAGTGCCTTCCCAATCTACTTGAGGCTCCTGGAATGCAGTGCATAGTAATGCGCTGGCAACTGGGTAATCGGCAAGTTAGGGAGCAGCTCAAGACCCAAGCGCTCTTCCCTCATGTATGGCTTATGGCCCTATCATGTGGGAGCAGAACACAAGTCCAATTTATGTCTGATAGCTTAAGGTGTAGAACAGCAGACCGGTGAATAAAATATTCTTAAAGGGCAAGAGATCACAACAATGCTGAGATATACGACCATGCCCTTGGAGGCTCGCCATAATGGGTATGAAGCTCACAGAGGCCAGTCACAAGCTGTGGGACTCATTTTAAGCAAAACATCTGTGTGCTTGTGCACACAGATCTCACTTCGCTTCTCCCTTAATTGAGCAGGGAAGCAAACCACGGAGTGGCTGGCTTCGCATTGTGTCTGTATCAGCACTTGTGGTTTGCTTTCCTCTAGACAAACCATGACTGGGAAGTCAGGCTTCGCATTGCGGTTTGTTTGGAGAGAAGTATACCACAAGGACTTTGTTCAGAGGCAACTCCAAGCCAGCTGACCTGGGACTTCTTTAGCAGCTGAACTAAGGGAGGAGGTGAAGTGTTACGGTTAAAACTAACCACATGGCTTGGCATAGCATGTGGTCACCATGACCCTCCTCCTATTCATTATGGCGAGTCCCCAACAGCTGTTGTCTCCTAACAATATTTTCTTCAGTCTGCTGCTCTCAAAAGGAAGTTAGAAATCACCTACACTTATGCCTGTGTGAGAGAACAGTACCACAAGGTTTGCAGAATATTAATTTGGAAACTTAAATTAAAACATCAACATCTTTATTAAGACTGCAAACAGGCTTAACAAGAAGCCTATTTTAAAATTCTCTATTAAAAGAAAGAAAGAAAAGCAAACGAATTGCTATCCACCCTGCGGCCAAGAACACACACATATGAGAAAGTGATAATTGAGCCCATCACAGAAAGCAGAGCTCAAAGAATGGAAATTTCCAAAGCAAAAGAATGCCTCAATACTGACTTCAAGAGCCAAGGTTACAAAGTCCAATAAGCTCTTGCCTTCTGCTATCCTGTACAGTGTGTCCACATACACTGCCCCAATAAGGAGATCTGTCTGAGTCCTCAGAGCATACTGCAAATGGATCAAGGTTGCACTCTCATTTTTCATAGGCTACCAGGCAGCTGAAGGTTGGTAATGCCACAAAGCAACATCGTAAGTGAGCGAACTCAACGTGAAAGGCTCTATATCCCATTAGCAATCCTTTACCCACAGTAATAGGCTTTATGTTATCAAGCACTAATGGCCTTGAAATGGTGCCAAGGTTTCTCTTTCAGGAAGGCAGAAGGGCTAATATCAAATGAGTGGAAGATTCAGCCTAGGGACAAATTCACAGACCTCACTTTTGATACCCACTGAGTTGTGTGCAAGTTCAGTTCTAAGGCTTTGCAATATTCATTTCAACAGATGAACACGAAATTCTACTCAGGATTCGCCCATTGAAATCTATCGACCCAAGTTAGTTTTGCCCATCAATTTCAATGGATCTGTTCCTACGATACCAGAATGCTTGACACATGCGCATTAGTAGGTTGCAGCTTGGTTACCACAACTTTGGATACCTATACACCAAGCATACTAGTGTGCATTTGCAGAGAAGGCAGCAAAACAATACTGGCAGGTACCATTGTTGCACACTTGAGAACAAAATTAATTGTCTAAGAAAGTAAGTAAAATAAAACTGTATTATATGGCAATATAGATTTTTGAGGAATTTTTATACATATTCAATAGTCAATGTATATTTCTGAGCACAAAACCTACTGTTTATGAAAGAGCATCAGTGGAATGTGTCACTTGTTAGCTGGCTTGATGACAAAGGCAGAGGTAAGGACCACAACTGCCTGAAATACTATTCTGTTTTTTCTTCTAGGTCTTACAATTTTGTTTCATGAAGAGCAAATGGATGCTGCCCTTTTATAGTACTTCTCAATTTAGCTTGCACTTTATGGTTCCCAGAATGTCAGTGAGAGGCAATACTACTTTGAAAGCTAATAAATAAAAACTCAGTATGTTTTTATGGCACTCAATCCATGTCCTGCAAAATATTTTTTGGTTGTGTTTGCACCACATTTTCAAGCAAAGTAGGGAGACTAAAGCAGCCAAAGTCTGAAACAGCTCAAAATTAAGAAACTGTCTTGATAGCAGGAATTGGAGGCATGTCTTACCTTTTTATTGATGTGACTGAGTAAACAAGAATGTATCCATTAATGTCTATGGAGTACGTCTGAGGAAATATTGAGTATTCATCCTGTTGGAAGATAAAGCTGCACGTTAATGTTTTGCTGCCACACAAGCTCATTAGTAAGCTTGAAGAACTGAGTTAGGATTAAGCGCATTTAATCCTTGCATTGTTAAAATGCTGTGCATGAACGTACATGTACTGACTTCCTTTCACTGCTGTCTTGCATTCTACTGAATTCTTTGCATAGCTGAAGGATTACAATTCCTCTACAAAGGTCTACAGGAGCAGTGCCACCGCTGAAAATGGAAGGCACCAAACAGGAAACCTGACATTTCACGGGCATGATGCACTCATGCACTCACTATGCATTTACAAGAACGGCACTGAATGTGAGAACTGGTAACTTACAATTACTAAACAGTCCTATGGGAAGCTGTCCATCAACTTTGACACACTGTGTCAAGACAGACAACCTATCAGTATTGTATCTGTTGGGAAATTGGACATCTACTTAAATAACTTAGAACATGCTCAATACTGTTGCTCAATACTGTTTAAGATGCCAAATGATCTTTCGACTATGAAGTACTGCAAATAGTAGGTTATCAACAAAGCACTGATCAAATTCCATTTTAGCTTCCACAGATGTGAACACTAGGATCGATCTCTCATTGCTCCTTCAGAATTTAAGGTAACTTTGACTTGCTTGGAAGAAGGAACTTTCTTAATGACAATGCAAGCAGACAAATTCAAAACAAGGTTCTGTTTAAGGATTTTTATTTTACTAATTAAAATACAATTCTAAGTACACAAAAGTAAACACAATTTCCCTCATCTTTCCTATGACTTTAGGATGTTTGCAGAGGGAAAGTTTCCCATTCACTTCTCTCTCCTTGAACCACCTATGCTCCCACAAGTGTCTGCCTGGAGGGCCAGAAATTTCTCCTGCACAATGTGAGATGAGGTCCAGAGGGGCTGCTAGGGAAGAGGGGAAATGGGAATTTTCCTCCCATGAACTTAAGTTAAAATGATGAAACTGATAAAATAAACAACTTATGTAGTTTTATTACTGTGATGAGTATGTTGTGGATTTGTCATTTCACACATTTAGTGTTGGGTGCATTTCACCATTAATACATGAGCCCCCAGTGGCACAGTGGGTCAGTGCGTCTTCCTGTTAACCAGAAGTATGGTAGTTTGGGGTGGCTGTGGGAAGGATTCCTGCATTACAGGGGGGTTGGACTAGATGACCCTTGGGACTCTTTTCAACTATACAATTCTATTATTCTATGTTCCTGCTCATCTTTACTTCATTTTATGGGGTGCCGCGATGAACCTTGCACATTGAAAATATAAATATGCTACAACTGAACTATCCCTTTGGAAGGCTGAAGCCTATGCAGGGGAAGTATTTTGCTTCGGATAGGGAAGGTAGCCTGGAAACCAAATATGCAGCCATTTGAGGCTCTGTTACACCTTGATGTGACTTGATATGGCTTCCATGAGTTTTTCTGTGGCTTTAAAAATAGAGAAACATCTAGATGCCCTTGGTTTCCAAGGCTAGAGTTGGGACGATGGTTGGGGAAGAGCCTAATCCTGCTCAAGGTCAAATACTGCCAGACTGGAAGATACCAAGAAATTATTGTACCTTCGGTTAAGCAGTGGCATTTTGCAAATGTGCTATAGCATCACATTTGAGCAAAAGGAGATGTTCGTGTTCAACTCTCAGCAGGTCCCATGCACAAAGACATATGCTACATTTTGAAAACTCACAGCAGCCTATTTATGCACAGGAATAAGCCCAATGCTCAAGGCTACAAAATAGTTTTCCCTACAGAGAAAGAGAAGTTCCTGCTTTGCTTCTTTTGAGGTTTAGTAGTTTCCTTCCTCCTACTTGCCTTATGTCTAGGGTTGCCATATTTTGAAGAGCAAAAAAGAGGACACATTTGCCGGCACCTAGGCCAGGGAGGAGGGGGTGCGGGAGCAGGCGAGCACTGGAGAATGCTGTGGGTGGGGCATGTGCTGGAGTGACATCAGAGGGCACTGGGAAGGGCCGAGGCAAAATTTGTGCATGCAAAATGGGGTGTGGGGGTGTGATACATACATACATATGCCTCTCCCTCTTTGGGACGTGCACGAGGTGGTAGTGGTGGTAAGGCATACAAAATAATTAATTAAAAAGCCCAGGAAAAGCAATAAAGCGAAACAGCATCTTTTTATGTAGAAGGAGAAAGAGAGGAAGCAAGACATTTTGGCAAATTCGAAAAATCTGACAGGACAGAAATTTTACCCCTGAAAAGGAGGACATGTCCTGGAAAAAGAGAATGTATGGCAACCCTACTTATGTCATGAAGGATTGTGAGAAATAGTTTGTGCAAAAAGGATATAATCTACTGTCTTATCAGCACACTTGAGATTAAACCCAAATCAACAACCACATATTTCTCTCCTTCACTTGAATTCCCTCTATAAACGGCAAATTCATATGACAATTTTAGATTAACTGCAACTATGATCTTTCTGTGCTTTAAGCAAGAGTAACTGAGTTGGTTATGAAAACATACCTATGATCTGCTTCTTCTAAGATTTCATACAATCTGTAACCAGACACTATAGGATGAATCACGTCTAATTTCTACTTGAAAATAATTAAAAGGGCCATAGCCTTCTCTCCTAAGTCTTTTAAGGCACCGTACCAATTTTAGGATATCAACACTGGAAATACTATCAGGGAAACAAACATTACTTACTTGGCCAGCTGTGTCAACTACTTGAAGATGATATTCCTGCCCATTTACTGTAATCAGCTTTGTGAATGCTGGACAAATGAGAAAAAGGGCAGTTCAGTGCTTCGCAGGAAAAGTCTATCACTTCAGTTCAAACTGGCCATTTTACTCTTGAGTAGAATAAAAATAACCTGGGTTTCATTGGCCAAATTTGCACATCACAGTTAACTATTCTTAGTGGATTAAAAAGCATGTAATCTATGGCTGACCATTATGTCTGAACCAGAGGCTGTGGTTGGTTTCACCCAAACACAAATCATGATTTGCAAGTCAAAAACAAACCTTGACTTATAGATCATGGTTTGAGTGAAATACTCCATGACCTCCAGACTTAGGTTAAGGCTGTGAAACTTATTTCATACACATATATTCAGTGCTTTTTTCCTAGAAAAATAGGTGTTGTTACTCACCATGAAGTTGTTACAGTGAATGTCAAACTTTTTAACGAACAACAACAAAGTGCTAGTACTGCGTACCCTTGAGTACATCCTGGAAAAAAGCACTGCATATATTTCTGCAGAGCTGAACTAGAAAGACTAGCCTTAAAGGCTAGCAGTTATATTAACTTTAGATCCAACATAATTTCAAGCTCATAGGTCTCATTTCCCAAAAGGCTGCAGAGAAGTGTTGCTTCTATTCCTTCTCTGCATATGTGATTTCTAAACACAAAGCCATAGTATGTGCACAAATTTAAAAAGACCGACTGGTTTACACCCTAGCTTCTCTATAGAAAACTGCACTTTATGAAGTTCTGCCTCCGTTAAACATCCAACTTCAGATTAAATAATAAATCAATGAAGCATAAACTGCTTCAAGCTCTTTTGAGGAAAAGTGCATGTGTGGGCGAAATGGATTAAGGCAAATCAGCTCTCCTTGCATGTTCAGAGAAATAGTTCAGTTACTTACTGTTCTCTATGGTAGGATCATATGAATCAACGAACTGGCCTTCCACAAACTGAATCGTCAACGATGATTTCCCTGTGAAGAAAACAAGGCAAAAGCTAACAGTGCTGCACATGCGGTTAATGACATTCTGTCACCAAACACAGAAGTTTTGCAATTTGTTTTATTTTGTTTTAAAGAGCTGTTTAGGTGATCCTGACTACAGTGGTGCCCCGCAAGACGAATGCCTCGCAAGACGAAAAACTCGCTAGACGAAAGGGTTTTGCGTTTTTTGAGTCGTTCCACAAGACGAATTTCCCTATGGGCTTGCTTCGCAAGACAAAACGTCTTGCGAGTTCTTGCGAGTTTGTTTCCTTTTTCTTAAAGCCGCTAAGCTGTTAAAAGCCGCTAAGCCGCTAATAGCCGTGCTTCGCAAGACGAAAAGACTCGCGGAACGGATTAATTTCCTCTTGCGAGGCACCACTGTACACTGCGTGAGAGACAGTGTCTGACTCCCTCCTCCTATGCCAAATCTGTGTTTTAATTGGACTGAAAATTGATTGATGACAACTTTTTCTCCCTTTGAACTGTAGCACATCATGCCATATCACAAACTGTTCTTCAGCTTTTCCTCTGCTAGGATCTACACATTATGGCTTGGCTTGTTAGTCACACCCATTATTTGCAGCTGCTACAAACACTTCCATTACCCTAAAACCCAAGGAAGTTAGCATCTTTTGCACACCCTAGAGAGGTTACTGCCACCCCGTTTGGTCATGCTGTCACTTCTGCTGTAAAGCAGCAAATATATCAATAGGCATTAGAATTAGAACAGCCCTGCCTCACATATATCCAATGCAGGTTTTCACAAGCGCTATGGGAAATATGTATAGGGGTGAAAATATAACCATGGCCTATTAAATACTGAAGCATTGCTCCAAGCATCTTTCAAACTTTCAACACTGAGTTCTAAAGATGTCAATCTGTCTAAAATAGAAGGTGTTTCATATGGTGAATATATGAACATATGCCTGTGCCAGGCAGCCATCTTATTTCCACGTACCACTTATTATCATTAGAATAACTTAAAATAGATACTCTCATTGTTTCACGTGAAACCAGAATGATTTGCATATAAGGTGATCATACATTCCCCCCCTTAACTATGACAAAAGTCAATGTTCCAATCCTCTTGTCTCTTTAGGAATATTATGTTTGCATAAAAAACACACACACAAAACCTCCACCACCACCACCCTGACATCTTCCACGAGGGCAAAGCCTGTGACAAACATAGGTGTTGCAAACAAGGATGTTTCCAACCCATCACCACCCCAAACCTTCCCAGTAGACACTTTCCCTCCCCGCATTCCCATGAATGGAAAGTACTATTATTATATTTATTAGTCACGTTCCTCACAAAAGTGACCCAAAACAAACCGATTGTAACAAGGGGGCAACAAATACGTGGAACATTTCAAACTAAGGACCAAAAGCCTGGATAAAAATGAAAGGCTTTGCCTAACACCGAAAGAAAGAAAGAAAGAAAGAAAGAAAGAAAGAAAGAAAGAAAGAAGGAAAGATGTTACCAGACATGCCTCCAAGTGGAGATCATTCCACCAGCCACCAATGAAAAGGCCTGTTCTAGTGTTGTCATTCTTCAGACCTCCCATGGAGGGGGCACACAGAGAAGAGTCGCATGTATACCCATCTGGGAGGGAATCAGCCTCTGTGCCAGGACACCCACCTCTGTGCCCCTCCTGGCACACAACATACTTAATAGGCTGATCTGGGCATGTCTGTCTCCATTGCTTGAGGGAACTCTCTTGACTGTTTACTTTGACTTCAACAGATCCTGTGAATCTGCCTGCATGCAACAAGGATGCTAATGTTTTTTATAAGTCATTGAACTAATCTATTTATTTATTTAATGCATTTTTATCCCACTCTTCGGCTGAAAAAAGGCTTCCAGAGTGGCTTACAAATGTCAATGATGAGCCAGACTCTGCCCTCAGGCTTACAACCTCCTAGAAGATGCAAAAGAAAAGGAAAAGGGATTAGGAGGGGTGGAGAGACTGCATTAGAGGAAGGATTAGTTGGAAAATTACTATTTTCCTTTTATGCAGTTTCTGATATATCTTACTCTATTGTATTGCAATGTTTAATAAATATATTGAATTAGAAGTCTGGAGTTGATTAAGGAGTTTTACCTGTACACAGCCTCCTTCATGAGCTGACGGCTGTGCCCAATGCTACATGGATCCTGGAACAGAACTAATTCAGGCCTGCTTCTTCCCGATAAAGATACTGTTAAGTCTGAATTCCCACGTATTCAGATCAAGGTCACTTCACACCAAAAGTAGGGGTAGGAAATCTCTGCCCCACAGCACAAAGTTGACCCACCAGGTCACCCTATTTGGCTCACGAGGCCATTTCCCCCAAACTATGCCCACCTGCCCCACATCCGATACCACAAGTAAAAAAAACCTGACAAAAGCAGGATTGAATGCACTTGGTTCCCATCTCTCTCTATCACTATGGGTTAAAGATCTGGGCCCAGTGGGCCATAAAGGTTCCCCACAACATCCCAAAGGCTTTACTTTATCCTGTGCCCCACACTGTTAATTATGGATTTTAAGATACTGCGACATGAAGCACTGGGGAGCCAGTGCTAAGCAAAACGTTAAGAAGCCTGCCATCCTTCAGGTCCTTGGAAAAACTTTCTTTTTGAGATATAGCTGTGCCTTTTTCTGCACTGCAGTGACCCCTGTCTACATGAAATAGTTGCTAGCACCTGTCTGATGTGTATGCCAACGGCAGGCAACATAATCCTAAAGCAAAGATCACAAGGCATGGTGGATACTTTGGGGCCCAGGCTTGTATTTTTTTAAACTACACACCACATTGTAGTTGCATTTCGTAAGCATTTCTAGCTGGTAAACAGGTCATCTGAATTAAAAAATGAAACCAACAACTTCTCACATGGCAGGAAGAACCAGACGCACAAATATAGGGTGGGGGACATCTGGCTTACTAGAAGTATATGTGAAAAGGATCTAGGGGTTTTGGTGGATCACAAGCTTAACCTGAATCAACAGTGTGATGCAGAAGCAAAAAAAGCGAACACTATTCTAGGCTGTATCAACAGAAGTATAGTGTCCAGAGATCAAGGGAAGTAATAGTACCACTCTATTCTGCCTTGGTTAGACCACACCTGGAATACTATGTCCAATTCTAGGCACCACAATTTAAGAAGGATGTTGACAAGCTGGAATTTGTGCAGAGAGGGCAACCAAGTTGATTAAGGGTCTGGAAACTAAGCCTTATGAGGAGCTCTTGAAGGAGCTGGGTATGTTTAGCCTGGAAAAGAGGAGACTGATGGGAGATATGATAGCCATCTTCAAGTATCTTAAGGGCTGTCACATGGAAGAGGGAACATCCTTGCTTTCCCACCAGTCTGGTAATTCTAGATATGCGTTTCTGTTGCAAAAGAAGGGCTATAGCTCAGTGGGGTTAAACACTTGCCTTACATGCAGAAGGTCCCAGGTTCAATCCCTGGCATCTGCTGGCACGCCTGGGAAAAGACCCCTGAAATCCTGTATAGCCGTGGACAAAACAGAAAACACTGATCTATAAAGACGTGACTCAGTATAAGGGAGATTCCTATGTCCTGACTATTACTTCAAGATGTCTACAGAAAACCTAGTGCTGTAAACTGATTTCACGTATCAGCTTGGCAGAAATATTCCATTTGATGGGCACAGCAAAATTCCCGCTGGTCTAATTATAAAATGTTTTCAAATGTTGCTTTCGCCCATTTGAACTGAATCCAATTTTTCATTCACAGGCATTGTAGTACATAGTAAGGGAACATTTGAATGCAAACCAGCAGAAATCCAGATAGCACAAGGCCGGGGGCGGAATTCTATGGATGACATAGGGACAGCAAAAATCCAAGACCAAAACATTCTGCCAATCACATTGGTAAAAAGTGTGAAGCCCTTTTAAAAAACCCCAAAATAACCCCACTAGAGCAGAGATGGGAATAATGAATTATAATATGTGACAACACAAGTTCAATTACCTATTCAGCAGCACGCAGACTAAATTAACATGAAAAAATGTTCATCATTTAAGAAGTTGCCAGTTATGCAACGTTCAAGCTTCCGGGCTCCTTGCCAACCAAGTGTGGGCAGGCAAGCAGCATGCTTGGCTATAGTTCAGGGCTGGCCAAATGGCACTGGAATATATTGCAAAATTGCAGTCAGACAGGATAAAGCACAATAGCTCCTGACTACTTTCAAGTTTGAGTGGGAAGAGGGAAAGAACACTGTTATGTGCAAGTCTAAAATGTCTGCCTGTCCCAAGACTGTTGGCGTGGCTTGTCTTCTTCATGTTAGGCTGCCATCTGTGAATCAAAACCGCAACAACTCTCAAAGTTGCTTTAAATCCATATTCAGCAACCAGTGTTCGAAACTCCCGCTGTTCTAGGCGCATTTTGTGAAAGGGAATTTCCTTAGCGTGAGCAGTTTCTGAGGTCTGGGTGCATTACTGTGCCTAAGATTTCAGATTAAAACTGCAGAGTGGAAGGAAAGGAGGACATTTTTCTGTCTCCCCACTTCCAGCTACTCTCTGAAAACTGGAGAAGAGACCCTCTTAAGAATATTAGTTGGGTGGGCAGGGGAAGGACTAGACCATGTGAACATAATATTTTAGCTGCAGTTCATTCATTTTCACCTCTGCATTGTTAAAAAAAAAATGTGCCTAGATATTCTGTTGTTGCACCCAGAACCTAGGTTTAAGGTGCCATTTAGCTCCTAGCTTTCATATGTCAGGTTCTAACACAGTCAGTGACTCACCCTTTATAGCATTTAGGGTAGTCCAGGAGGGTTAAAGTAACTGGCCAAGTTATTTTCAACACTTTTTCGTTGTTGTTCAAGAATCCACCGACAGCAGACGAATCAATATGGCTAGCTTCACCCAACAATCCCGCCCCTCCCCCAGCAAACAAATCTCACTGCAGCCAGCTAAAACCACGAAACATGCCCCATCCCCCTTCAACCTCTCTATCAAGGAAACATAACAAGTGAATGGAAAGAGAACCTTCCCAAGTGATGCTGACACAAAACCCCGCACATATACTAAGTAAAAGAATATAGGTTTTACCACCCCATTCCCCTCTCTGCCCCCTTTTCTTCCCCAACCTTACACTGTATACAACACTAAAGTCTCCCAACAAATGTAATCAATCTGTAGAAAACACAACCTGAAAAAGAGACAATGCACATACTTTTGTAAACCATGAAAATCTTTATTTTTTTTTTTTAAAAAAAACCACATCAAAAACTGTTCTTGTTAAAAACTGGTGGAAAGAAGGAAGCAAACGAGTCCATATTTTTGTCTTTAATCTTTTGGAGTTGTAAGCAGAAGTACTTACACCCCTTCCTACAAAACATGTATTCAAGTCTCTATTCTGATTCAGCTGCTGGTGGACTTGAAAAGAGTTTTGAAGTTACAAAAACTAAGGCTTCAAGGTAGGATTCAACAGAAAGCATCAACAGAGTATGCTTAGATCATTTTCAGAGGTATGGATAGCATATGCACTGTGTATAAACAACATAATTCTAAAAAGAAAATTTTTGGATAGACTCAATAATGCCTCGATTTGAAGTGTTTTTCTGTATATTGTGGCTGTGGCAGACAAGGAGGGGGAGAGAGAGAAGGTGCCCTGTGGGTGTTGTTCTTCTTTACACTTCCCTGAGGGCCAAATTTAACATGGCTCTGCTTTTTCCTCAAGACCATCCTTCCCACTTGTAGCAAGCAGCGTAGCCATGAGGGAGGAAATTCTGGCACTGTCCTCCTGCGCTCTCTCGCATTCCCATGCACTGATAGAAGTTCCAGATGGGATATTTCTAAACTTCAGTGGTTGTTTTGAAATCTACTTCAAAGTGCTAACTATTCTGATGTTGTGCTTAGTGGTCTATAATTGTCTAGGTTCTCAGTGAACTGCCTTTTCCCGTTATCTCCTTCTCCATAAATAACTCTTGGATTAATAAGTACACAGAACTGAATTTCATAAATTAATCTTAAGCGCCTTTAAAATGCAAACATTCTGTAGCATCCCTTTTCTTGTTAATGAAGCTTAAACTATTATTATTATTAATAATAATAAATTTGCAGAAGCCAAAAAGAGCACAGAGCTATCCCAACTGCGCTCAACAGATTTAAACTGGTGGGACAGGCACCTCCAATGGTATTGTAATAGAGGAAGCTGTGACAAGAGAAGCAAGTTTGCTACTTTGCAGCTTGCCAAAGACCAGGGTAGGAGACTCAATCTGGTCAGTAGGCCGAATCTTTACCTCCTCCACAGGTCAACTCCAGCAGGTAGGCAGGGCTGCCCACCTATCACTTAGCTAGACTGGTGACTGGGAGTGGCCACCACGACCTAACTCCACTCTGAAAGGATCGGCATTGGCTTCCAGTACGTTTCCAGGCACAATTCAAAGTGTTGGTGCTGACCTTTAAAGCTCCAAACAGTCTTCATTTTGTATACCTGAAGGAGCGTCTCCACTCCCATCATCCAGCCCAGACACTGAGGTCCAGCTCTGAGGGCCTTCTCAATAGTGCACCCGCCCTGTGGAACACTCTCTCATCAGATGTCAAACAGATAAATAACTATATGACTTTTAGAAGACATCTGAAGGCAACCCTGTACAGGGAAATTTTTAATGGTTGATGTTTTATTGTGATTTTAAGATTTTGTTGGGAGCCGCCCAGACTGGCTGGGGCAACCCAGTCACATGGGCGGCATATAAATAATAAAATAATGATGGTGGGCAACGACAACTTCAAAGGGGCTGATCAACTGACTGGTACTTACATTGTACCTTCAAAGGGGCTCATGATAACTGCCATTCGGCTGACTGGTATAGAGAGCAAGCCTCATTGGGTGCACTAGGGAATTCCCAAAAGCAAATATTCTGTCTCCCAGTGGGGCTCACTGCCACGGAGCAATCAGGAGAACACCTTACAAGCTCCCAACTGCTGCTTTTCAGCCATATCTTTACCTGTCCCACCCCTGATGTCATATATGACATGGGGCAGATGGGTGTGGATTTTGAGGAAACAACCTCACAGACCTCATTAGTATTACTGCCTGACTTAATTAGGCTTAGGGACTGGGGGTTTAAGATAGCTCTGGGTCCACTGCTAAATCATTACACACCATATAAAATGGAAATATTGAAAAAAAGCACTGAATACTTCAAGCTTAGTTTTATTTTTGCCACTTCTAGTCTTAATACTATCATACAATCTCATGAAAAACTATTATGTTAAACCTACTTTCAAATTTAACCCTTCCCCCCCTCACGGGCTAAACAATTTCTTATGAAGTATAACCCCCCCCCAACTTCTCTATTCTTGTTTCCAAAATAACTGCTCTTCAGTTTGAAGAGCCACCACACTGGACAACATAGCAAGATTATCCATATCTCCATCGAGATTTATACCCTAAGACAGTTTTGCTTCCAGCAAACCTCCTTCTGTCAGTTAAAATCCACTACAAGATTAAGAAGGAAGTACGCTGGTCTTCTATCATCAGTCTGCCAACATGAGCTATATTTTTCATGTTCCTTGCATGCAACTCAAAGGGAAGTGGCAGTACAGTAAAATGGGCAAAGAGAGGAATGTCTAGAATATTGGCCACAAATTAGAATTCAGAATGTCCTTTTTTATAAGAAGTTTCTAGTCCTCATGGTCTTAGAGAACAATTTATTAAGGTGCAGGCAGGGTTTACTGACCATTCACAGGCAGAGTTCAATGGGGTCTTCTGGTCTGGGAAAAGTGCTTGATGTCCTATAGAGCAGCGAAGCCTGTGCAAGTGTAAACCCAAAATAATGACTGCTTGTAATCCTTAACTGGAATGATGAATGCCTCTTATAACTTCATTTGCATATTATAGTATAGCATTGACACTTATAAGCAAATTTCAGAAAGGCTTGATTCTAACATTCTAACAATTTGGAACTACTCTCTGATGACTAGTGGCAGAGAACTAAGGTCCCAAATTCACGTGACAATAATTTGGTGGGCTATTATACCAAGTAAATTAGGACCAGTGGGTCACCAAACCAAAAAAATTGGGAAACACAAGTAGAGTTTACAAGATTTTCCCAGCACCCCTAGCTGCCAATTTTTCTCATTTCCCATCTCCGTGCTGCTCCGACTTCTAATTTCAAACATTCTTCTATTGTTGACAGTTAATGACCTGAATTTTAGACACCTCATGATTTTTTGCCTAGGTTTAAAGAGGCAACTGGTGGTGGTGGGGGAATCAATTGCTGTCCCTACATAGTCCCCCCCACCTTTTGGTACATGCCTCCAAATGCAGACCTGTGCTGGAACAAAAGTTAATTGATCTTTGATTCATAGAAATGTAGAGATGGAAGTCGACCTCCTGCAATGCAGGAATATGCTGCTGTCCCATATGGTGATCGATCCTGCAACCTTGGCATTATCAGCATCTCACTCTAACCAAATGAGCTATCCAGGCTGCATTATCTAAATAATTTTTAGATGTGTGTACTCAAAAATCAGGTAATGGTTTGGAGTCACTCTCATGAAAGGCTACCATCCCCTTCCCTGCCTCCTGAATCGGCAAGGGATTCTTTTTTGTTTTTAATACAGTTGTTTTCTGCAAGATCTCTTCTGTGAAAAACGGCTGATTTGGTTTTAAAAAGGGGGAACATACCCTATCAGCTGATGGAAGCAAAATGGAAGTAGGGGGTGTGGTGACAGAAATGACACCAGAACCACCCACAAAATGCACTTCAGTGTATTCACAGCAGAGTAACAAGTGGTTTTATACTGCATTTAATTCCCCTTTTTGGATTTTTCCCAAATCTGTGTTTATTGTTGAAAAACTGCAGGCAACCAATTGGATAGGGGAAAATGTCATGTTGAGAGCACATACACACAAAAAGGCACATGATGCTTCAAATTCACATTACGTTCATGTATGGATGAACCTATAAACACAACAGTTCACTTTCCCAGCAAAGAAAACTGCAAACAAACTATTGAGGCTGCACTGAAAGATAGCTGGAAATCTGAAGTGGGAAGTTGCAGAGTTGGAAGTAAGCAATATGGTAGACCCGGGTGGTTCAACCCGTGGCCTGGCTTTTTTGGCAGCCCTTGGCAACGTTAAAGAAAAAATAACATAAAAGCCTTTAAAAGATATTTTTTGTGTCATGTGTTTAGTATTAACATAAGTACATACATCTGTTTGCATGTTAAAACGTGTTTACTAATTAAATAATATATATAATTAAATACACAATTGATAAATTTATCTTAATTATGCCTATTAAATAATGATAAATCTATTGCAAACACTTTAATGAAGTGTGTTGCCCATGGATTCTGTGTTGAAGTACTCTTGTGGCCCCCTTAGTATGAGAAGTTGGACTGGCCTGTGAGAGACCATAGCACAACCCCCAAGTTACATTAGAGACAATCTGAAGACTGCCCCTGATAGCCCACACACTTCTTCTATGGCAGGGGCAGGGAACCTGTGGCCTTCCATATATTGATTGACTCCAGCTCTTCATTAAAAGTAATGGATGGCTAGTAAGAAAGCCAATATTTGTGATCCCAGAGGGTATCTCAAAGTAGGCCTAGCACATCTCCAAGGTAGCTTTCTCTCCCATCCACAGCCTTTAAGATCAAAGCGTCAAATGGTACAGCATCATCTGAGCACCATATTATAATGAAAAGGTTACATAAATGTTCAGTACCTGCCCCCAAACTGTGAGACACCCTCATCCTTGAGATCAACAGTCTCAGACTGAATACTGAGATGTGCTGATCCTGCATTTGACACACAAAGTTAAGTGGGCAGATGTGTATGTGTCTAATTTCAATATAATTCAACTATCTAGCTCAGACATTCTATTTTTAGTGTGGCCTCCCACCTGCACCACCTTAGACAGTTACTTAATCCAAGCCATTTGAGGCACGGATGAGGACAGAAACTGAAGTAAATGAGGGGTGGGGAAACCCTCTCACCATATTCCTGTAGGACCAGCAGTGTCTGGAAAAATTAGGCATGCTTTCCTTTGGTAGGAGTTATCAATGCAAACACATCAATAGCCCTGCTTAATGTGGTCCCCAAAGCAAGAGCAAGCACCGAAAACAGGCTCTAAACTGGGAGCCTCTTTGCTCATTTTGAATACTAACAGAATTTTAAGTTCAAAGTTGCATCACTTGATTTATAATCTAAATAACAGCCGTGTTTTACCTCACAAGGGAAATGCAGCATACAGCATTTCAGGCAAGGTACTATATATTCATCAGCTATGGCCAAGCATTCACATACATGCAGTTATATTATGAAAAAGATGAATTTTATTATGCAAAGAAGCTGAAGATATTTGACTGCCAATGTTTAAGGTAGCTCTGAAAAAGAAATCAATTTTGTCGGGATTTACTGCAAAGGTATGCCAAGTAAGTTATTGCAAATCAGCCTTAGAAAGTGCACATTATTCAAATACACAAAACTGGAAGGTCAGAGCTAAGTTCCATTTGACGGTGTCAAATAGCTTCATAGTACGAGCCAAAAATATTTGAGGCTTCCACAGCACAGAGACCTAAGATTCAATTACATCAGTGTCTATATTTGTAGACTATGCATTGCATTTAGGAAACTGATATTTATATAAATACAGGAAGTGTTAAAAGGAGTTGGTGACTGAACAAGGTATCCTATGTAAATATGTTAGCAGCTTGACTGTTTTAAGTATTGTTGAGAGTGAGATGAGAAAAAAAGCTCAGAAATGCAAACCAGGCAACTCAGGAGTTAATTCTAGCACAGTGTCCTTAAACAACCCTTCCAGTGGCTTGATATTACAGTCAAACATGCTGCCTCTAGAGTTTACTGCTACCATTAACAAGTACATTGCAGTAAGATTTGCCACTAGACAGGCAGGAATAAAATGAAGCTTTTAATTAAAGCTGGCATTTCAGACTACTACTCAGGAGCAGCTATCCTGCTTAAGAACAAGATCTGGATTCAGCAAATAGTGAAGACCATGACCAAAGAATTGTGTAAAACTGCATTTTAGCAGCTGTTTCAGTGATGTGATTAAATATTTGGCAACTTTTAATTGCAGATTGTCCTTGTGCGTTATGATCATTCCCCCATCCATGTTTGAAAATGTGTCTAATATTTAAGCACCCATAACTAAAATAACTAAGAAAAGAAACTCACACTAAAGGCATAGAATGCAACACTACACTAGCATTAACCAGTCTTTTTTTTTTATAAAAAAAATACCCTAGCACTAATACCTTAAGGTACAGGTGGTGACCATTTCGCATGGGGGTTGTGTTCTTGGCCCCCGTGTGTGTTGGTGGAGCATGTATAAGCACGTTCTGCCCTCTTCCGCGTCCAAAAGGACCCATGCGATGGCGATCACATGTCAACTGAATGCATCTAAAATGGTTGCTGCTTGTATATCAGTGTTTATAAGGCTAAGACAGGGGTAGGCAACCTAAGGCCCGAAGTGGCCCAATCGCCTTCTCAATCCGGCCCACAGATGGTCTGGGAATCAGCGTGTTTTTACATGAGTAGAATATGTGCTTTTATTTAAAATGCATCTCAGGGTTATTTGTGGGGCTTAGGAATTGGTTCATTCTCCCCCCAATATAGTCCAGCCCACCACATGGTCTGAGGGACGGTGGGTGGACCAGCCCCCGGCTGGAAAAGGTTGCTGACCCCTGGGCTAAGATATGGATCCTCCATAGAGCCCTTCTGCACCAGCCTCTCCCCAAATGAAACTTTGAATGCTAGAAGAGCGCCAGCTCATCTTTCCAGCTTTTATAGAAGGAACTTCCTGTCTGAAATGCTGTAAAGCCACTGTCAGTCTGTGTACTGAGCTGGATGGCCAATGGTCAGACTCTGTCCTGTGTACTTCACTGTATGTGTGCAAAGGTTTCAACAGGAGTAGACCTCCTTCAGAGAGTTCTGTGGGCCATTTTCAGATCAGTAAGCAAACAAATATTGTAGGATAGCTATTTTCAGGCAATCCAAATGATTTAATGAATTAGAAAGTCTACCTTTACTTTCCTAATCTAATTACTTTGTTAACCAGGTACTTTCTTTGCCTTATACCTCTGCTAGCTTGAGCCTTATACAAAGAGGCTACCTTATACCTGAATTATCTTTGCCATACCAGCTTGTAAAGTCCACACATGTAGGGCAAATTCTTGCATTCAATTACAGACTGGTGCTGATTGTTTCCTTGGTCACATTGTATGAACAAGCTACATTTTTGTTCTTCTATTCAGGCCTCTCTATAATCTTTGTGCCAGGGAAAGAAATGGAATTACAACAACTGGAACTTGATCCAGGCATGAAGAAAGCCTTGAGGTATGCCTTTTTCACACTGAGAAAGCATCTGAAGGGTTCTGAAACCAAAGTCACTGTAAATTTTACAGTACCGGAGAAGCATGTCAATGTTACATCTGCTTTGTTCTATTGCATTGCCTTGATTTCCTCTTCATTCCCAATAAAGGTGGAGAGGGGAGGGAAAAGGAATTGCTATGGTAACAATTCTATGGCACTAATTTGACAACCATTCTTCCCCAAAGTATATGAAGAAAGATACAGCAGATGAGAACTTTATAAGGTTGTACTGTACTTGGAAACTATTTTAACAAGGAGTTAAGGTTCTGGATTGAACATAGCATTTTAAAGAGCCCACTTCAAAACAAGGGTCTGATTTTAGCTAAACCACCAGTACTTTCTGCCAGAACTGAAAGTGTGTTTGCTTCACTGAACCTAGTAAAAACGTCAGCTTCACTGAGCAGATATGAAAACCTGACCTCAGTATATTTTTCCTTAAATAATTTTCACACTTATTTAATTTATACTCCACCCTTTTCTCCCAAGGAGCTCAAAGGTACATGGTTCTCTTCCTCCTCATTTAATCCCCACAACACCACTGAGGTAGGTTAGGAAGAGAGGTAGTGACTGGACCAAGGTTACCCAGTGAGCTTCATGATGGAATGGGGATTTGAACCTTGGTTCTACGTCAATACTCTAACCCAGGGATTGTCAACCTGGTCCCTACCGCCCACTAATGGGTGTTTCAGGATTCTAGGTGGGCGGTAGGGGGTTCTACGGCACAAGCTGAATCCTCCTTCCATTAAGCACTGGTGGGCGGTGAGGAAATTTTACCATCAAGAAAGATGCATTAGTGGGCAGTAGGTATAAAAAGGTTGACTACCCCTGCTCTAACCACTACATCATTCAAGCTCTCCTCCAACAAAAAAGGCCCTATAAACCAAAGTATGTTTCAGCATCACATTCCCAAGCATTATGGCAGTCATTACGAGAAATGAAGCTGGTATATAAGAACCTGCCTATTTAAACATTTCTCTTATCTCCATTATACAATAAAACTTAAATAAAGATTAAACACCCAGAAAGTGTACTGTGAAAGTGAACATGAACAGCTCCTCAACTTTGGACTCCTCCCACCTTGTGTTGGAAATAACTTATTTTACACACTATGACTTAACACTCAGCTGGTTTACACTGTGAATGCTGCTACCCAGTTTGTTTATATAGCTGGACTTTTAAGCCCTTTTTCCACCCACCTTGCTCTCTAACATTACTTTTGTTTACATCAGAACAAAATATCTAAAGAATGCCATCATTTCAGCATTTAAAGGTCCATGGACCCTTAGGAGAGAAAGCAGAGAGGACAGTGTTAAAAAAGGGTTAGATTCCAGCTTTAAATGACCTATGATAGTGCTGTTTAGATTGGTGAGCAGTAGGTGGATGGAAAGAGGGGCATCGCACAGCACTTGCTACATGTTTCAAGCAAGCAGCTGGGTAGCAAACTGCACGGCTGACTTACTCATGTAACAGAAGACCATTACTAAACACTCAAGGGTTTTTTTGTGTATGACAAGGTGGCAAACCCAGGTTTGCTGCCAAATGTGCACTCAATGGGAAGCTGTTGCCAATCACAGCTTCCAGACAAATGTTATTTGTACAATGATACACATGTGAAAACACCTGTGTTCAAGTGCCCATGTAATTAACACTTTGTTTTGTAGGTGTGCACCATAAAAGATGTGATGAGTCCCCAATGCAGCTTTGTCAGCTGTAGAAGTGGTCACATGCTCTTTGCCCTCAAATGTATTTTGAAAGTGACCCCATTTACCTGACAAAGACCAGGTGTCCATTGAGCTTTCTAATAGAATCAAATACATACTATTTAATATACTCTAGCACTTGCTGTACAGTAGCCAATAAAAAACACACACATACAGTCACACCCTTTACTATGTGTTTACCTGTCCCATCATCACACCTGGAGGAAACAGTCAGAAACCAGACAAGCTGCTAAATGTTTGAGCAAGCAAAATAAAAGAAGTTTGCCTAATCCCTGAAGTTGATTTGGGCCTCCTTAAGGAGGCAACTGCTAGGAAAGGGAGGAGGCTTCTTTCAGAGACATTCCCCTGCACCTCCACTACATGTCCTAAGTAAATTATAACTTCATTTTCAATTACTCCACAATAATTACTTTCTAATATTACATTTGAAAAACCTTGCCAATGATTTCGGGAGACTTATTTGGCAAATCCTGAGACCCCCTAATCTAAACTACTTTAAGCAAAAAAGTAAAATGATTTACAAAGAGCGAACTGAAGTTAATGTCTTTTATATGTAGAAATTGCACCTGTGATTAGTTTCAAACCACTACCAGCTTTCTGGGGAATTCTGCTTGAATGAGTTTTACTCCCTATGAAAGTCCTTTGGTGCAGAAGCTAAGCAGGTCTATAAAGTATGTCCAAGAGACGAGACAAAGCCATAGTTATCTTCCTCACGGGATCAGACCAAGAAAATTGGTGAATGGTTTTAGTAATGCATCACTTCTCTTCCTGTACAGTATCCAACACATTGTTAACATGAAATAAATCCACAATAACTGACCCACATAGCAATGTAGTTTGAGGAAACAAAACTCAAATTGGTTAACTTGCACTAACGCTTTAGCCACACTGTCATCTTCAGACCGGGATAATTTGCAGAACCGAATGTGCAAATTATTTCCACCAACTCATTTCAACCAACTCATACCAGTTTCCAACTTTGGGGAGGGGTGGAGGGAAAAAACACAAGAGCCCACTTTTCTTAACGCGGTGGGTCACCGGAAGCGAATGCTCTCAAAGACCAAATGTGCAAGAGAAGAGATTGTCACTCACTGTTAGCGGCAGCTACAAAATCATTATTGCGAAAGCGCGATCTTGGGTATGCGGTGCCAGGCGCAGTGGATGGGAGTGGACATCTGGGAGCGGCCCCGGAAACCATCATTACCCGTAACCACGCTTTGCACGAGGAAGGGGGGTGGGTTAGTAAAAAGATTTCACGTCAGCCTGGAGCGGGAACGGTGTTCCCCGCCAGCCAGACCGCGGAAGATTAACAAGTCGCCTCTGCAGACGCGGGAAATGCAAAACGGCCGCTCGGAGCCTCTCCTGAGAAAACGGCCCCGGGAGTTGTGAGGCATCTGCCCCGGGTGCACTGAGTGGCTCGGCATCCTGGCGAGGCTAAGTTACGGGGAAATGCACACAGACACGCGCGCGAGGCCACCGCCACACGCTTCTCATCCCCGCCAGCACCGAAAGCAGGCAGGGCAGCAGCCCGCCCGGAAAACGGCTGACAGGCCCAAGGCGGGTCGTCGTCGTCGTCGTCCTTCTCACCTGCGACCGGCTTCGAAGGCGGGCTGCCCCCTTTCGGCCGCCAAGCCACGAGGCGGGAGCGGCGCGCACGTCCGCCTGCGGAGCCTCAACTTGGGCCGAGGGCGGAAGGCGGAGGCCGGGCGCCCCGGTCTGGGGGAGCCCCTCGGGGCCCGCTCCCCGCACCCTCCACCCGCCTCAGGGAGTGACTCACCGACGCTCCTGTAGCCCAGGATGGCGATCTTACGGGACTTGGACGGCGGCATCTTTTCCCCGCCGGGCCCCGAACCACATCAAGGGCTCCGGCCACGGGCGGGCGGGACGAGCGGGAGAACGGGAGGCGCTGCTCCTGACGAGGAGGCGGAGGAGGCGGCGGCGGGCGGCCGAGGCCTTAGGTGGGGCCGGCTGGGGACAGGTAGAGGCGGCAGGGGGCGGCAGCGCGCGGCATGCAAGGCGGCGGAGGGAGGGGTGAGGGGAAGAGACGGACCGCGCGGGACTCGCTGACTAACTGAGAGGCACGGCGATGCGACGGCGCCCGCTTCACTCACGTGACAACCGCCGTCCTCGGCCGTCTCCTCCTCCGTTTCCTCCCCCTTCACCCCCTCCCCCGCTCGCGCGTGCGCGCATCTTCGCCTCAGCATTCGCTCGCCCACATACGGCCGCCGTCGTGCGCGCTTGCGTCACGGGCGAGGGAGAGGTTCACCGTTGGACTGGCAGGCGGGCAAACGGCCGAGCCGAGCTCGCGCTGGAAATTTCGCTGCGTCATCCTTCCCTCAAGGGGGTTGCCCCGCCTGGTTGTTTGGCTCTGGCTCTGTTCTGGCTCTGGCTCTCCCGACCCCGCCCACTCCTTTTCACCTCCTCAGGAGGGGCAGGCGTTGGTTGGATATATCGGCTATTTTTTGTTGGTTGGCGGAGGGCGGGGCGGCGGCGGCTTTGCGCGCGAACGGGGCTGCTGATTGGGTCCCCTGATGACTCGCTGCTATTGGCCAAATCCGAATGGAAGGTGTGGGAGGGTGGAGTCGCGGGGGTGGTCTCTCCGGTGATTGGCAGGAGATAGCGGAGCGGCCTTGCGTGTGGGAAAGAGCAGCGCGTGCGTGCGTGCTTGAGTACGTGCGTGCTGGGCCCATTGTCAAAATGTCCCCTTAACTAGCGGGCGGCTGGCAGGAAGCCGCCGGTGGTTTCTGTGCTAACGTGCGGTTCTAGTGCAATGGTTGCGCACAGGACAGATCGCGCTCCCTCCGTTTGCACTGGGAAAGCTTTAAAAATGCATTGGCGTATCTTACTATGCAGTCTGCTGCCAGGGATTTGTATGTACAGTACCTGAATCACGAGTGCTACGATATTTACACTGATTGGGTTTGATTCCTTGAATCAGTGGCGTAGCGTGGGTTGTCAGCACCCGGGGCAAGGCAAGTAATTTGCACCCCCTAACCCGTGGATTTGCGCCCCCTAACCCTCACCCCCAGAAGTTGCGCCCGGTGCGGCCGGCCCCCCCTGCACCCCCCACGCTACGCCACTGCCTTGAATGGTTTTACCACGTGTGTGGATCAGGGGGGCTACAGTATTTTTATTTAGTTACTTAATTTCTATACCGCTTTATATTTTTAAGAAAAATCTCCAAGCGGTTTACAGCATATTAAATCAATAAAGCATAAATAAAACAATCTGAAGAAAGTCAAATATAGGGTATACAGTCAAAGCAACATAATTAACAGAAAACTAAAAAATTATCTTAAGATTTCAAAATAAAATGTTCCCATCCAGGAAGGGAACGGTTTTTCCGTTTCCCCCTCATGAAACGCTGTAAACTGGAGCAAACTAAGAGGGTTGTGATTTGGTGGAGGTTCACGGTCAAGCGTAGCGATTTCAGCCATGGGTCAAGTCTGCTACAACTATACTGCGCCACACTGGCTGCTTTTATTAGTGACTAATGCTGCTAATATTGTATGCACTCACACAAAGAAATTATATGCACATTAGTCACTGTATTACAACTTACATGGTTAAAATTCTGCTCTTTGTGAAGGACTGGGTTAAGAGGCATTATAGGTTTTTGCCCAAAACCTACATTATAGGTTCCAAAGCATGCAGGTTCCCCGGGATTTTTTTTGGGGGGTGCTGGTTGACAACATGGTGTTGCGTGTGCTTCCCATAGCTGTCAACTTTCAGATTTGAAAATAAGGGATTAGCAGCCTCGAAATAAAGGGATCAGTAACCTCACCTGTCCCGGGGACAGTCTACAGGATATCTAACAATCCGGGGAAGCAGCACTGAAATAAGGGAATTTCGCACACAAAAAGGGAAGGTTGACAGCTATGGTGCTTCCTATCTCCTATTCCCCAACTCACTTGCTTCTCCCAAGCATATGTGTAACTAGCATAGAGTAACTTTTATGGGGGCCAGTGTGGTGTAGTGGTTAAGAGCAGTGGGTCTTGTAAGGGTGGCCCAAAAGGATGGCAGTGTGGCAGGAAGATTCAAGGACCATCAAATTTAACCACATTTAAACATTTCAGTGCAGTATAGTATAGCATACAGGCAACAACCATTTTGTACGCGTCCAATTGATGCACAACTGCTGACAAGTGGGTCCTTTGGAGGTCAGAATGAGGGAGTAACGGGCTTATGCACACTTTCCTGACACACCCAAGGGCCAGGAATGGAACCCCCAAGCAAAATGGTTACCACCTGTATTATCAAAATATATTTTTTTTGTAGAACATTGCTGTGAGTCCTTTTTTTGTTTCCGGATGTATTGATCAATAAAAAAAAATCAGTGCAACGTGAGCAAATGTTTATTTTGAAAGTATAGCCTAGAGAAAAAAGTTTGAGAACCACTGGGTTATAAAAGCAATGATTTTTTTTTTTAACTTCTCCCTCTGGGTACTGAGGATTAGGCTTATCTCAGATGGTGCAGCGAAGTTTGGGTTTCCCATAGAAAAGATTGAATAAGAGTTACCCAAGAAGGCTGACAGTGTTATAGTAGAGTCTTTGTATATGTACTCTGGAGATTGTTGGGACAAGTAATTGTTGAGAGCATGCTTGCATTTATGGGTGAATGTATGCTGGTGGTGTTACAGATGTTTCAGTAGAATTTATGTGCATCTTGAGTGAAGGGAATCCCATTTCATGGATTTTGATATTTTCTGTTCTATATACTGTAATAATAATAATAATAATAATAATAATAATAAAAATAAAAATCAGGGCTTTTATTTCAGACAGGACCTTGCCGTAATTCAGTTCCAGCACCTCTCAGATGGCTGCCATTGTCATTATAAGAGAACAAGGGTGGATTTCATGGTGAGTTCTGGCACCTCTTTTTCTAGAGAAATAGCTCTGATGATGATAAATAATTTATTACTTGTACCCTGCCCATCTATTAATTGTGTTTGTTGATTTCCTTTGTAAACTTTGCCATTTTTTAACGAAAAGTAGTTCTACAAATAAAATAGTATTTTGTGTTCTAGCCATTCACTCCTCTCAGATAATACGATTTCATAACCCCCTCCTGTTTTTGTTTCTGCAAACCTTTGAGTTCTCCCTAGCTTGCTGATACTTCCCTAGTGCCTTGTGCCATTTTGGCTGCATAAGTATTCAAACTTGAAGAAAGAGTATACTATTAGTATATACAATGTTTCTCTCAGCTTATAAAGTGTTTTTTAATTTAAAGATGCTTTGGCCACCATGGGATGTAGTTTTCTTATCCAATAGCATTTACTAATAATTGCTCCCAGTTGTTGTTTCATACACGTATTTCGCTTACGTATTTAATTTTAATGTTTAACCTGTTTAAAGCACACATTCTGAAGAGGATACAAGCAGGATATAAGTCAGGATCAGTGGTGGGAAAGTACATTGTCCTTCTCAGCCATGTTAACTCTGACTGCAGCTGACAAAATCTTATCTATCCCATCTGAAATCTCTGGATAATTGTTCACCTTTCATGAGAGACCTCCATGCTGTACTGGCACCCTTCAGACGTAGACTATGAAATTTGCACACACCATCATGTATTGTTGGAGGGGTCAGGAGTTCCTTCAACAAGAATGGTTTGGAGTGTAGATAAAAGGAACAGGGTATTCTGGATTGTAAGCACGATCAGTTCCTTTTGTTTTTTGTATCATATGTATCACCTATTTGAAATGTAAATGATGCAGAAGAAAACTAGGGCCTGTCTTGCGTCACATTCTGAATGTCCACAGACACAGCAAATATTTTTTTGGGGGGGGAGGGGTGTCTTTATTTTGTTGCTTCCAAAATAAGACCCTTCACACTGCTCTTTCATAAGCATCTGGATGTGAAATTAACAGTGTGTTTCTACATGGCGCAATGTTGTTGTTGTTGTTTAGTCGTGTCTGACTCTCCATGACCCCATGGACCAGAGTACGCCAGGCACTTCTGTCTTCCACAGCCTCCCACAGTGGTGCAATATAGCACTATATACTCCACAAGCGTTCTTCTCCATGGCCAAGTCTTCTGTAATGTTTATTCACAAGGCAGTTCCATTCAGCAAAGGTCTCTTGCAACATTAGTAGATGCCTTATTTCAAGTTTAGTGCTTTTTATTGCTACCTATGCAGCACAACTGGGTGTGTGGATTACTTATGAATTGCCCCTGAAGCCTGTTCCATTTGTGTGTGGTGTGTATGAAGATTTAATTACTGGCTTCCTTTCATTATGTAATAGTTAAAGAGAGCTATTTGCTATGGGAGAAAATAGACAATAAAAGGAACAAACCTTCCCCAGCGAAGTTAACTAATGGTTATCATGAAACTTTTCAAGAGACACAGTTGGAACAGCCTCAACAGAAACACTGAAAGGCTGGAGGAGTGAACAGAGCCCATAGCTTTTATCACTGCCCTTAAAATAATTCTTTTGACTGTACTAATTTTTTGCTTTCTGTCAGGCATTGGCAAGGCAGAAAGGTGGAATATAAATATTTTAAACAATTATAAAATGGGCAGAACCTGTAAAGAAGAAATGGTTAATTAATGATCAAGCACACTCTAAAGCGCTGGGGAGGTTAGCGCTCTGACTGTATTTTATTACAACACTCCACCCCAAAATCAGGACATTGCACTGAACATAGGCACTTTGGCAATGATGTCTGAACAGTAGGGATGGGAAGTCTTGATGCAGAGATACATCCTGCTAGTATACAGCCAACATATCCACACCATGTACAGGGGACAAATAGATGCTTAAGGGACAGGACCTTCCCTGGAAAGAAGCTATTCAACTCCAGAGTCTTCCACAGATATCTTTCTTTAATTTCTCAAAAGGGAAAAGAACTGCCTGTTTTCTGATTTTTTAAAAAAATAAGCTTATTAAAAAGAGAAGAGCACATCCTTAAAAACAACTACATTTTGGACAACAAATACATGTTTATAGTTTACTCAGATAATCAGTTTACCTTCTGAAAGGAATTAATCTGAATCGCCCTAAAAATGGAATATGCCAGAACATGTGGTTGAACTGCATATGGAGATTTATGGGTGTAATTTTAAGTGGATTATGCCATCTTCTGGACACTTAGGATTTTTTTGTTACTAAAATTACACAGTAGGACTTTTGGAATTATTCCCACACCCTGGTTTTCATTCCAGTCTTTACAGACTACCAGCATGATACTGCTACTTTTC